TATGGATTATCAATGAATTTAAATAGTAAATGAATTGAATTTCTTGCTATTCCACATGGATTAATTCTAGCAAACTCATGCATGCAACAAAATTAGTGGGAGTTTTTGACAAGCTAAACTATACTAATAAAATGTCTTGCAGTGTCCAAAACATTTATTTTATGTTCCAGTTTCATTAGCACGGAATCACTGAATATTTCATTCTTGACCGTTCGTGGAACGCATTGCGTTCCACGAATGAAATAATGTCAGTAAAATTGTAAAACCTGTTTTATATGTGCGGAACAGATGATAAAAATAAAAAAATTGTGAAAAAGACATTGCAACGTATTAAAATGTTCAACATCAACAAATGATTGCTGTTCCATCCTCCTTTCATCTTTCAGAACAAATAGGGCAGTCAACCAACAATGTCCCTTTTCAATCCACGGACGATAGCAAAGGGCAATTTTAACAAGTATTGCTATCACTTATTTTTGACCAGGAGACTTAGAAGATTATACCCGAAAGATGAGAGAATGAAATAATACAGAATACTACACAGTTCCATATAAAAGTTCATTTTTGACGTGAGTTGAGAGAAACACAAGAACTTTAATTTTTTATTTTTTGCACTTAGCGCTAATTTCATCCAGAGTTAATCAATGACAATTCATTAATAAAATTTTAAAATTAATCAAATGAGAGATTAAATTCTTTTTTTTCTTTTTACAGCTTATTTGCACCATCTAAAATTGTTGACCTTCTCTATGATAATTCAATTCAGTATTAACAACAAATAAATAAACAAGTTTTAATATCCTTCCATTATCCAAAAATTTTTTAAATTCTATTAACTAAGATTTGTAATACTAATGGAAATTTTCAGATTTTTCTAAGAAAATATTTATCAAAAACAACGTGCTATTGAATATTTCTACCACCAATTTTATATAAAATTAAAAAACGCTTCATCGCATCAAATTCATTTTAATTCAATGAAATAACTGAGAATTGCTAATGTTTTGTCGTGATTAGGTTAATGAAAGCAATTTTTTAAGAAAAAAAATTATAGCTGATATTGTCTCACAAAAACGGTGGACTTAGAAAGACGTACGAGTAACCACTCTCTATTATCCTGTTACTTTGAAAATATGCGAATTTTTCTGGAAAGAAGGTAGATTCTAGAAAATAATGACTAATAAGCTTCCTGAATTTTCAGAAATTTTCCTTAAGAATAACATTTTTCATTTGATATAGTTCATACAGCTGAAGGACCATTTCAGATATGCAAATGTGTAGCAATAATTTTAGAACCAGTAGCAATTTTTTTTATTTTTGTTTTTATTGTACTTTCTCGAAATTCACGAATGCGCTATATTTCGTTAATTGCGAGCCAGTTTGTATAGGCGGACCCTTTGACGCACCTATAAATAATTGGTCATTTGTCCCATATTTAGTTGATTTCAAATTAACGTTTACTTTCCTAGGTCATCTCATAGCAACTGGCATGAATTGGTTTGCATGACTCAATTCTGGGAATTCCGGGATTACAACAGTTTTCTTGTTTTAAGCTTTGCAAACATTTGATGCAATTTTCTTGTGTGGAAAAATTAGAAGCAAAAAAAATATCGGTAGAATTATTTGGTAGATTACATTGCTTCGTTGGAAATTGATTGCGTTTAATATTTTTAGAATAAGATTAAAATTTCATATATTAGTTTCATATATACAGTCGGCTTCATATATTAGTTAATCTAATAGTAGGTTGAATTAGTTGGCCCAATACAGTCTGCTTAAGATAGAATGTTCTGTTAAATGTTTACTTAATTACTTAATACTAATTTTTTTAATGCGATTAAACTTTGTGCGGATATGTTTGCTCATTTTCGATAACTGAAAAAACGAAATGGTCGTCCAAGTTGATTATGAGAGGAAGGAAAAGGGATAGGAGGTGGATAGAGTTGTTGGTTGTATTAGTATGTGCTTGTTACCTTATCAGAATATTATTTGGAACCAGTTCTTGAAGTCGTTTTATTCACTATTTGCTGAAATGCATACCCTTTAGGACAAGAAAGAGGATTTCTCACTTTCAAGAAAAAAACAAAAACGATTCAGTTTTCAATTTGTTTAACATTTTTTTTCCAATTGTTGTTTGTTGACATGTTTAAATTTGTGCATCAGTTGATGATATCCTGTTTCTATTGATGAAATTTCCACAATTCATCCCACTTTTGCCTCTACTCTCCACCTCAAACGTTATATTATCGGATTGATTGGTATCTTTCTGTTTACAAATAACACACTGTTTCTATGAGTGGTAAATAACATTTCTTTATTCGGGTTTGTTTATCTTCAGCAATTGGCGGATGCTAAACTATTCTGAGACTTATTTATTCGTTGAATTGAAAAGAATGTACTTTCTCCACGATTTTGTATTAATAATCTGAATTTAAGAATAGAAAACAATCAAACTGAAATGTCAACAAATTCCTTGTTTGCATTACAAAACCGATCAGACAGGCCGTTCGTATAATCCGGAAATTTGTTCTTCTTTTCTTTTGGTGTCTTCTCATTTATTAGTGGATAGCAAAACCATTGTTTCTTAATCCCTCCAACAACTGCTCCATGTATTACATATCGAAAATCGTATCAGCACTCATCTTCTCCTTAGTCTTCTTCCGTTTTGCTCTTATTTACTATCGTAATACAAAGATGTATCCGTTTATAAAGTTTCTCAACACATTATCGATTGTACTATATTTTTGCAACGTCTTCCATTAGTAATAGACGATTCGTTGGGATGTATACTGCAAATCTGTATGATATGTTCTTATATCCATCACACTTTTTTTTTATTTAGGGATGTGAATTAAAATTGGATAGAGATTTTAAGAGAGCTATCTATCAAGAATATCAGTTAAAATGAAATTATTGATTGGTGTGATAATTTTGAACATTTTCGTCTTATTAGACTGGTGGATGAGGACGAACAAATAAATGAGTGGTAAATTTAGAGAATGAAAGCACTGAGATATTTAATCTTCCAAAATTGTAATGGTAGGATGAAATGAAAGGAATAGTAACGAAGAGAGCGGGAATTGCACAAATTTATTCCAATATCCGTTTTTGGGATTCTAATCACCAACATATATCAATGCCAATTTTCCAATGGCAGTACCTACCAAATTTAGTGGTTGTGATGCACGCAGGCTCTCTTCTCTTTTTATCTTTTTCCATTTTCCAATCGATCCTTCATTGAAATCAGAAAAGGTGCGTCGAAATGTTATTTTCATCTTATTTTTACTTCCTGCTTTCTTTTTCAAAAATCTCATTTCATTCAGATGTGGTTCAAAAATTTTATCTGAAAATGACCGTGTGGAATATTTTTGTATGGTTCTCCTTCTTCTTCCTCTCATTACAATATCCCACCATTAATTCTATATTTTGCATTTTCTTTCTTCCTCAGTAATTTTTTATCATATTTTGAGACTGCAAGGTCAAAAAATTTTGACAAAAATAACAGTTAAAATTAAAATTTAATTACCCGGTTTTTAACCAATGAATGTATATTAAATAAAAATAATGTGCAATGTTTGCAATGTAACTAAGTCTTTTAGATCGGTCAAAAGCTTTTGTTGATAGTATTCTGATAACAAGCCCCAAAATATCATCATTTTCATTTGTATTAAAATTCAAATATCATTTTTATTTTTAACAACTGATTTCATGAACATGGGGAAATATAGTTCCTATTAAGAACAGAATTGCTTTTTGCTTGTTATTGAGATACCAAATATTGAATTCCAAGTTATCACTTCACTTTGATAAAATGCAACCTATTTCAAATGATTAGAGGAGAATGAAAATTATTGCACATGTTCATAATGCAACTGAAAAATTAATTCCTCCATAAACTGGTAATAAAAGACATATGATAGTGCAATGAATATATTATTTTCTGTTCGAATTTCTCAGAACCAATATCTGCAAAATTTTGCTTTGAAACAATACTGTTCTGAGAAAAGAATATATTTTTAGAAAATTCATGAATCATAGCAACTCTTTCCTAACGCCATGGCAAAATCTGAGACTTCATTTTTTTTCTTCTTTTTGATAGAACTGTAAATTACTTTTAGGATAAACAGAGAAGTGAAATGATGAATGAATAAAAACACGTAATTCAGTATGCTTCTTATCCATTTATTTGACCATAATTAAAATTAGATTTATTTGAATGAAGTTCGCATTTCTAAATTTTAAAACATGAATAGGAAAAACGAGCAGTGCAAAGAATACTGCTCAACAGCTAATAAAAGATATATGATAGTGCAGTGCATGCATTCGCTATTCAGAATTTTACGTGATTTAGAAGTTCTAATATGCACATGTTATTAATTGTCTGATCAGAGAGAAATTTAAAGAATGGATTAATAGGTGATATTTGAAATGTTTTCTGGAAATGACAATAAAATATTACTACTTTGATTGTTAATATAGTTAGGCGTTCTTTGGACTGCTTATCATCAAATATGTAGACAAAATATGTAGGTAGGCAATTTTAAGGCAATAAACCAAATTTTAATATATGAGCTGATTACAGTAAAATGAAAGTGTCAATTTTATAGCCATAAATGGATACGAAAGAAATAGTGGAAATGGTTAATGCCAATGAGAATAAAAAAAATACGGTGAAAAAAAAAAACGAGACATAAAAATGTACAAATTTCCACAAAAATTAGAATTGTTTTCTAAAATATCCATGTAAACCTCAGTAAATTTAACTTTTCCTATGCTACTCAAAACATTCTTCAGTGGAATTTCAAATGTTTTATAGAGAAATGATTTAACTACATTTCATTTGTTTTTATGAATTTAAAAAGCTTTCTGTTCCAATGATTATTCCTTTTAATTTATACATTACTCAATCCAATGTTAAAACACGATCTGGAATTTTTAGAAAGAATTGAATTTTGTTTAAGCAGTTTAAATTTTTTTCAGAGTACGAAGAGCATTTGTCGATGCGTGTATCATTCATTTTAGCAACCTTCACAGCATTAATGGTAAATATTATACTTAATTATTTATAATACTAACAAAAAATCTTTCAGTCTAGAATATAGTAGTTAATTATTGAAATATCTTTACAACTACACTCTGAAAAAAAATGCATATTTAGTGTTTACAATAAAAGAGTAACATCGAATTTTCACTCTTCTGGATTAGAAACTCTGGAAAACAGGATCACTACAAAATTCTTATTTAATGTTTGTTTGTCCATCGCGATGACCTAATTGCCTCTTACAATGACAATAAAGGCAAACGGATAAGAGAAATGTGACGAATTGAATTGATGCATTTGCAAACAAACTAACACGCATCACAGCAGCACTACCATACATTAGTTACAACAAAACTGATTCTAATTATTCAGAAATTCTTTAAATAGAAAAATTTCAATGAGAAATGATTGAAATACATGTACGATGATTATTCCTGAATAGATATTCTTAATACCTGAAAGACAGATGAGGGAAATATTATTTTTTGATTCTATGTTATTAATTGTAATTTGAAGATATATCACCAATTCTCACAGCAACAAAATTTATATAATTAATCTTGCTTTTCTTCTATTTCAGAAATGTTTTTAAAATTTGAGAAATTAATTTAAAATTTAACATTGAATTTTTTTCAAAATAAGTTGAACGACTATCTTTTTATGCAGAAATGAGATACCGTCAAAAACTGAGCAATGATTAATGCACCAGTTTTGCTTAGTACTTTTAAGATGAAGTTTTTCGAGTCCAAAACCTGTAGCATCTACCATCGTGCAAAATGTTTCACATCAATTTTCAAATCAAATATATTCATTTGTTAGTTAAATTGTTTGTTTGCTTTTCGGTCTGTGAAGCTTCAATGTATGTTTGAAAAGAAAGCAATACATAAATTTTGCAGAACAGCGTCAAAAGCAGTGTCTCGGACAATGGTATTCTCGGCGATCCATATGTTTACTGTGGCGACAATTATATCGAAGTAGGCCGTTGAGTTATTAAATTTAATTGGATTTTCAGTACAAAAGTTTGTTAATTCAAGAAATAGAAAGAACTGGTCTATAGCTTGTTTCAAACTTGTAAAGCAAATGTCGTTATGCTTTCATTTTCATATTCTCAAGGAATTTTCACTTCGAATTGAATTGCATTCTTTTCACTTTAAAAACGTGATTTATTACAAAAAAAGTGTGAAATTCAACACAGCCAATATCATATTTGAACAAGAAATTTTTAGTTATAAACTTGTTTTGAGAATAGTGTTCTTGGATGGTGACTTTAAATGACAATGGCAAAAATGTTTCATTATACATATATAACTACATTAAAAAGTTCATTTTAAATTTGAAAAAAAATGTGAATTCTGTTCCTGTTAAAAGAAGAACTCTCTATTTGCATTCATAATTACAATATTAAGGTGCATTTTGAAACACGGAGTACTTTCAAAGGGCTGATATTTGTGGAAAACCAATTAGCAGATCCGTCATGTCGGTCGACTGCTGCTGAAAATGTTGACGATAGGGGACGAAATGCATCGATTAGACTCGGATTCAAAAGTTGTGATGTTGAGAGAAGGCGATCGGTAAGATCAAACCTTTGCCAAACAATTTAAACAGTCAATTTATGTCTTGATTAAACAGCACAGCTACATTTATAATAAGATTGATTATTCAATTGTTAAATGAAATTTATTTCTTTCTCATATTAGAAGATTTTAATTTTTTCAGAGTAACCCACGTGGTATGTATATAACAACATCACTTTTTCTGTCATTTCAACCCGATTTTCTCAGCAAAATTGACCGTGTTTATGTGGTACAGTGTTTATACATGGAAATAGAAAAAATTTTCGAGAAACAAATACAAGTAAAGTAAGTTTGTCAGATTTTAAAACTGACACTATCATTTAGGATTTTGGTATAACTATTCAATCATTTATTTTATTTCACTTTAACAGTTTTTGGTTATTTTAAACTATTTTAAAAAATCGTTCTTTTTTCAAAAAAGATTACATTTTGCACTTATAATTAATCACTTATTTTTAATATATAAATTAGACTGCATTTAATTGTTTGTTGCAACTTATTTTCATTTTTTGTACTATAAAAGAAATCCAGAAAATGAAAATATAAATGTCAGATATTGTTTATATTCGTTAACACTTTGAGCTTGTATTTATCTGTTGTTCTTTTGTCGTTATAATAATTGATTGATTTAACATTTCCTTATTTTTACATTTTTAAATTTGAGGATGAATCCTCCTCCGCTTCAAACCGAACAAGTACCGATGCCAGTATGTAAATACGAGATTCTTGATGGATCACCTGCTGGACCACCAGTATTTTACGCTGTCATCGGACAAATGGTGAGCTTCAGGAAACACTTTTTTTTGCAATATTATTTATTTGTTTAATTATTCATATTTCAAAAATGAGACAAGATTATACCTATTTTTGCTGTTATTTTGCTATTTTATTTATGGGATTCGCAAACAATCAGAAGGTTCTGCAACTTATTACCTCTAATGACTTTGTCAACCTGGTAAATACAAATGACTTTAACTTAGGTTTATCACAAATGGACATGTGAGACGGATACCGAGAATCAGTTCTGTATGATAGTGCACAGTTGTTTTGTGGACGACGGTAACGGTGATCGGGTTCAACTGATTGATGAACAAGGGTAATGTTGATTTTTAAAGTGCAGTGATCTCCAATGGACAGTTGATAAATCCTGTTACCTTTTCCCATGAAAGCAACGAAAAATAGAAAGACTAGAATAATTAGGTTTTAGATTTCAAGAAATTTTGATACTTAGAATAATGGCTGCTTTGGAAATGAAGTATCATTACTTGTTTTTCTAATACAGATGTGCGAAGGACAAATATTTACTGCAAAATCTGGAATATGTGTCAGATTTAATGGCGGGTAAAGAAGCACATGTTTATAAGTATGCTGATCGACAAAGTTTATTCTTCGATTGCCAAATATCAGTAACAGTAAAAGAACCGAATCAAGAATACTGCTCCGTACTAGTTTTTTAAATGAATTTTTAAATTTCATTCAATAAACAAGTATCTTTTTTTTAAAATGGAGCTAAACGATGGTGCTTTGAAAATATTAATTATAAGAGCTATCATTCACAAGTGATACTGTCAACAGTTTTTGTCATTAACTTGTGGTTATCATTTTTCTTCTATCAGATTTCATTAATAGAGAAATGTTGAGAATATAGTGTGAATGTTTCCAATTACTTTATCCTCTACAGATTACAAGAAAGATGTGGGGGAAAAAAACATTGATTTTTTAGCCTAGAATTTAATAAATTTTCCCACTTAATTTTATTTGAATTAGATTCTCAAACTATCTTTCTATTTCGAAAAATTTAGAAAGTAAAGGAAATAAGTTTATTTTGATTGATCGTAAGAAAATTGGAAGATATTTCATTCCCAGATTCCAACTTGTCCAGAGACACCAAGAAGAAGGCGTCAGACTTCGCTGCAGCCAGAATCAAAAATGCAAGAAAGTCAGTCATTTGCAAATACTTCTCAAACAAAGGAGCAGGTGTCAACGAAGAGTAATGGAATGATACTTAATAAAAGTATTATTGATCGTTTCTCTTAATTATTTAACCTTCTTTTTAAATCACCCAAATAATTGCCTTCAGTCTATCTAAGAAATATCCGTATTTTCAAAAACTATCATTACTCTATCATTATTTAAGCAACAAAGTTTCCAGTGTAAAATTCGTACACTAACCAATAGGCTCAAGTTAATTAATTAGTAAACTTGATCAATCAGCTTTTTAAAGGCAATTAACTTATCATAGATAATTTGTCAATCTTCTTTAGTTGTAAAATAACGTTAAAAATTATGCGAAATAGTGACATTTTTATGGTTAAGATTTTGTTTGTGCGAATTTTTTGTTCGCTATCAGAAATAAGGAGTCAGTATTGTAGGAGAATTTGAATTGGAAGTGAAGTTTAACCTTCGACATAACCAAATTGAAGAAGTTGGCTGGTTTGATGACAATTTCAGTGTTTATCAGGTCACTTTTTTCGTTAACTTCGATTTTCTGTGCGAAGGAAAAATGGCCAACATAAATGTGTTTCACAGTTTTGAAGGAATACTTTGCAGGATGTTTTCTGTATGTCATCACTTGGCCTCGGTACAATTGCAGCAATGAATTTAATTATGGTCTCAACGTCGGCTCTATTTTTCTATGGCAGTTGCAAGCATTCGTTATGTAGAACAATGGATTAGATGCAAACCTCACTGCAAGAATTCAAAGTTCTCAGCATTTTGGAAAGGTCTCAAACTTTCTTAACTTCACATCCTCAGTTGTTCCGATGTCGATATTCAAATATTTGCTTGGACTTACAAAAATAATTCAAATTTGTTCTTCATGAAATTTGCATTTTAGGATTTATAAGGCGCTTTTTTAAATAAATTACTATAAAAACACTGCTGTAAATTTTATAACATTTCCATCACTGAGCGTTTTGATATCTAAGAATTTTTCTTTTCAAATCATGCAAGAATTTATGATAGATTCAAATTATTTCAGTTATGAAGGTCAAAGAATTTCGTTAAATAGTGAAGAAAAAATATGCTAAAATGTTTCATTTAAAAAAAAAAGAAAATTTGTCGAAGTTTGTGCAAATGATTTCAACGAATTAAAACCAAAGATAATATATATCACGACCTTTTTTACAGCAGTAATCCATAGAAGTTATCTTATGAAAAGATCGATCTGACCAAATTCATTATATTACTATAAAGCTCACAAATAATATATTCATTCGGTTTAATCTTGTAATACTACTAATCAATCAACATTCGAATTAAACGAAGAATGCAAAATTCATATAATCTTAAATAAAATATGATTACAAAAATTATTTCCATTTATATACAAATCTTTCTTTCTAGAAAAAAAGATTTTTATGGAAGTTTATGTGAGTAATTTTTTGATCTCTATTCCTAATGTTTCTTGCATCGGGTTAAGAATTTAATAGATTATACTTATATTATAATTGTAACATGATTTGAAAGCGTATAGACCAAAGATCCTTTCTTGCATTTTCAGTAATTATACAACTGATTTTAATTTAATTATAAATTTGCATGATCATATATATGTTATTAATTATTGTATACCATAGTTGACATTCATTATCTTTTTATTGTTACGAGTTTTGCTGTCAAAAAAAACGTTATTTTTTGATCAGTTTTTAAAGGCAATTCCTTAAATATAAGGATATTTTCATCATTCTTCAACGGAAATTATTTTTAAATGATGTTGCATTTTACTATATGCTGCAGTAATTAGTTAAATGTTAGAGAGGAGGAATACGGGGGAGGAGACAGAGGAGGGATGAACCACAAGCTGTTTTCAAATGCAACTTGTATTAATGCTATTAATGAACAATTTTAATTGAAGTTTCCTGTCAATTTCTTGAATCATAGTCTCTTATTTTAAAAAGCATTGAACACTAGAAAGTTGTGACAAAGCAAAGCATCGTGACTGTAATTCATTTATTGAATAAAAAATATGGAATCGGTTTACTTTTTAATTTGGTTAAAAAAAATATCGCTTGATAACAATCTGTTGAGATATTATGGTAGTATTTAAAATTTAATGCAGCCGTTTTCGCTTCTAAAACTCTTCTCACAATTTCCATATTTTAGATATTCCTATCGGTGACTACATAAACACTGCCGCAAATACTAATAATTCAAAAAACATTTCAAAGAAAAATTTATTCAAAATCAAGTTTTTCTTCGTATTTTTCCATATGGTTTACGAAAAAAGGGAAAAAGTTTACGAATTTTACGAAAAAATCTTTTTTGTGCGATTAATTTTTAATACAGCTAATCGTCTTTCTAACATTACTTTGGTTTACTGGTTATAGGAAAATGAGAGTGAAAAAAGAAGTCTCAAATTTACTTTAGCTGCGTTTTGCTTCATTAATTACTTATTCCACTAATAATTTTCTAACTTTTGAAGCAACTTTTTATTTTCCTCCAAGGTATTTGATGAGGTTCTCAATTACTTCGATGCTATGGGATTTCCATTCATTGACAAAAATTATAATTAGATTTGTTTTTTAACTTTGAAATTAAAAAATTAATTAGCAAATTTCATACATTCCATTTATGAGCTTATTTTTATTTTTTGCTGAGAATTATGACAAAAACCAACATATAAATAAGGATTCAAATCTGAATAGACTAAAGATTTAGGTTTTTAATGGTTGCTAAGTGAATAATATTAAATGAAAAAGTTGATTTTAAGTGTGACAGATACATTATTTTTTCCTCAAGATTTAATATTTTTTTCATCCAAAGTAATCAATAGAAAAAAAATTTGCAGCTAGGAATAGAACTATTAGTAGTTTTAGAAGAGTAATGATAATTAGTGATTCTGAAATTTTGACTCATTAAACGAAGCCAGAATATGAGATAATATGAAATTATACCAGTGGTTTAGAAATCACATCTAAAACAGTTTTTTATTAAGAAATCTTCATCATGTAATTGATCTATCAGTGTTAATTTTCAATCATTACAACATGAAGTTGTAAAGCTCAGATTTTTTTAAGTGCCTTTTTGGGCCTGTATTGATTGAACATTTCACTTTTTCTTCTCTTTTATATTTGAATTTTTTTTTTTTGAAATCGCCAATGAATTATTTGTATTTTCTGGATATCTTTGGCACCATATTTTGTTAATTGCTAGGAATACTTGATATTATTTAATAATAATATTGTAATACATGAATGATGTCGACATTTTTCTTTGAAACTTCGGGTATAATAAGCAACATATAATTACCAGAATTAAGTAAAATTCTAATTTATCATCAATAAATGTTGAAAATGGAAGCTGATTCACCCTGTCTTAATTACAATATTTTCGCTATTAAGGATTTTTCCTGTTATATTTTGATGATTACTTATCATTAACAATTTTTCATTTTTTTGACAATTTTTAATTTTATTGTAGAAGTTCTGTAATACTTTGCAATACTTCACTTTTTTATTATAGCAATGCTCTACAATTAATCCAGAATTTTGGAAATATTAATGCTTACAGATTTCATGAATACTATCTTTCATATATTCGTCAAATTTCTTAAAATATTTTTGCTATAATGATGTCTTGAAATTTAAGAAACAGTAATTAGCATAATTAAAACTACATTAATCCAATTAATCCAAAAAGTCATTCTTCCTATATCATAAGGTATATAATATTGATATTATAATAAAACTATGCGATATCGAAACAATGATTTGAACTAAAAAACTTTCTAAATTTTTTTGGTACATTGTAATATTGAGATTTACCACAATTCACTTCTTAATTATAAATTTGCATTATGAATAAACTTAAGATCCGTGAAGAATATATGATTTGAAATGAGATGAGAGAGAAGACAATTTGAGAAAATTCTCATAAACAGATAAAAATGAATGAAACACAGAATGGCTTTCATTAGCAAAGTGATAAATTTTATGATGTGGCTGGCTCGCTTAGCACTGCGGCCTAATTACTCGGTGCAAATGATAGCAAAACGACAACTAACTTCTTCAATGAAAACTGAAGAGAAGTGGAGAGCCATATGGAACGATTTTCTTCAAAAGACTGATTTTTGCAAATCTGCTGGTGCTGATGGTTTATGGAAGTGTGCATTCATGTTAAATTTACTTTTTAAAGATAAATTCAGCAGGACGAACTTACTCTAATTAGAATTCAATAATTGCTTTAATTTATATGATTGCTGATTTAATGCCCTCACAATGTTTTATGACAGCAAACCTTAAAGTACTCACACACACAAAATAAAATCTGTTTGCAGATATTATGGACATCATTACACGTGGCATGACTTCGAAACTTTTCCGCTGCATATGCAGATGTGTGGTTATCTGTGTGTGATAACCTTTTTTTCATTTTATGGACTTAAAAAAGTGGAAATTATGAGCGACAGAAGTACTGTCGTTTATCAGTATTTATCATTTTAACATAAAATAAATATTTCCCCTTTCTAGTGATTACTCAGAAGTCGGGGAACGTATTTTCTGTGATATTACAATTTCACTTATGGTGTAACTGTTCAGCATTTAGCAAGAAGGATTCAGGATACCGGTAGTCTAACTATATGGTATTAATCGGCTACTTCTCACATTGGTTCCTCTTATGAACTTGTTCATAATTTTAACTCTGTCTTTAAAATGCATATGGAAGGATGGAAGTAGAAAAAAAAAGGAAAGCCTAAACATTAATATAACATTTTCATACTTTTCATAGAGATTTCGTAATCAAAAAGATTTCACAGAGAGTTCGTAGTCAAAGTTTTGAAATCATTTCTAGAGATCATAATTAGTCATAAATTTTTGCAATATAAAGTAATCATTGATCATATAATGGTCATGCTGTGCTATTGTAGCACTTCGTCGCATTTTCGTTGCAGGTTGGAAAGGTGGCAATCGAGCATTCCTGTGGTATGCAATTGAAGATCGATTCAGTCATGAATATGCATATGCGTACGTTATCATTTGCTCCAATCACCATAATATGCAATAAATTAAAATCTTAGTGTAGTAATTACTACTGTATGGAAAACAAATACTGTTTTGGAGCAGGATGGTACTTAAAGAAGTGAATAAAAAGCTTGAGGAGAGATCCATCTGTAAAAGAAATAGTCGACTGATATTAATGATTTTTTAAGATTCGAACCAATAAAACAATCAGAGCCACCAAAACTCTTATTAATGAGAGCACTGCAAAAGGAAATGTGGGCTGCAGCGTTGAAACGTGGTACTTGGTTCCTGGTTCCTCAACATGATTAATTGGAAATGAGACTTTTTTTGCTCTTGTCTACTTTCTTCAATTGATATCGTCATGAATTATATGTCATCATTCAACCTAATATCATTTTGCGCCTCTACTAATTGCTGATATGCTTCCATGCTTGCTACTCCATTTTACTATTTATTAACTTCGTCTATCCAGCTATTTCTGAGAAGCAATTTATTCTACGAAATCTTCATTGTACTTATCTTTATAATTTCTGCTCTTAATTCTTCAGTATGGAAAGCGATTTTGACATTGGTTCTGACAGAAATAAAAGTTACAGCGCCGTTTCATTTTTTTTTTTTGACTTAATGAGCCTTGAAAAATAGCATACGAAAAATGCAATGTATAGGAGCAAATAGTTTTCTTTAAATCCTTGAAATATAAAAAATGCTATATTATTCACTTTAATCAAGCCAATGCAATAGTTGTATCATAAATAGTTGGCGCTCGTAATATGATGACAATGCTGCCGATAATGCAAGCTGTTGTAAATAGTATGAGGAATAATCGATCCATCACGACAGATATATATTTCCAATCTTCGATTATCTAAATTTCATCCATTCTCTTCACAGTTTATGTAGATCATTTTACAGTGATTAGAACAATTAAAATGGCTTTGCTATCTGACTGCTTCATAAGTTAGATTAGATTATTAGAGACTTCAGGAAGAGTTTATTTTATCAAAAAAATCTTTTCGCTTATTGTTATTTCTTTTGAGTAATTGACAAGAGTTGAAGAGAAGGTTTTAACTGCAACAGTTAAAATAAAACCAGATATGGATGAACCTGTTGGCCACTTTTATCATCTTTCATTTGACTTGCAATAAATGTAACGCTATCAACGGCACTCATCACCGGTGTAAGTTCTTTTTGGAAGCTTGCAAAACTGCTACCATCATGACTTTTCATTGTGCAGAATGATGGTCGATAAGCCGGAGATAAGAAATCCATCTATAGCAAGCTTTCGGACAAATTTTTATATAAATAGAATTCCAATAATAACATTATTGTTATTCTTCGAGAAAAATATGCCAGTAATAATTTCGAATAGTTAGAGAATGACAATCTGTTCATGATAATACTAACAATTATATTGAAGAATTTTTTCTCTCAATTTGATCAATACAACTAACAACAGTAAGTACCTGATCAAATAAGGCAGAAACTGTGTGGTCACGTGGTCGACTGAAATTTGATAATTTTCTGTCTGGACGTTTGGTAGTAATGAACTGAAGAGCGAATCATTTATTAAATTTACGGTTCTAAGTAGCAAAGTTAACTGGCACTTTACTACCAGCTACTGGTTTCAAATAAAGTATAGCAATCTTATCAACTACCTGTCAGTTTTACTTTTCACCCTTCAATCTTAGCATAATAAATTAATATTACTGTATTAATACTACGTATTGCTGTATATTATATCATAATATCTAAAAAATGAGACGGAAACAAACGGTATTAGTAGAACTATTTCCAATGATTTTTATTCGTGATGGTCGCCTCATCAAAAGATATTTGGGTAGAAATTCGATAAAAATTCTTTTAGTCCATTCCGGCATTGTATGAGTTGAAGGGGATCGAAAGTGTACATTCTGTAAGACCAAAATTTAAATATAAGGAGATCTTGACAACAACGCATATTAGAAAAAGTATAGCATTAGTATATCGCATTAGAAATTAATTTCATGTTTCACTGACTTCAAGATAAAATTCCAATTTTTCTTCTTTTTTTTAAAATAATAGCTCTTCTCTTAAATGCTTCAAGCGCCACTAAGAAAAATTTTCAGTTCTATTATACACACACTGCAACACAAAGAAATGCGAAATAAATCGTCTTAATATTTTCATATCGTTCTTCATCAAGTAATAGTTGATAAACCTGATAAGTTCTATTTTATTATATAAATTCTGTTCTATTTCAAATTGTTGCATTTATTATGAATTGAACATACCAACGTTATAACTGTAACAATAACAGATAAAGTAACGAGCACCATTGTAAATAATAGATATTTACCAATAAGAGGTATAACGAGTGAAGTTGAGGGAATTATTTCTACTGCAACAAATATCTGTGTTAACCCACACGCAGCAATTTTTTTCATCAAGTTTAATTTTGAATTTATATTAAAAGAAAAAGCTTACCAAGTAATAAAAAAAATATAGTGAGTGAAATAAGTATATTGAGGCAAAGTGATATTTTCTCACCGCCATCTGAAGGCAAATAGAACACTAGCACCGTTAGGAAACTGAAAAACCACAATTATAAATTGATAAATACAAATATGAAATCTTAAACAATGTTTTAACGATATTATGAGCTTTCCGCCGATGAACCTTGTTTTTATGTCTTAAAATTTCGTTTTACTTGATACTGACGATTGGGAAAATCAAATAGACGATGTAAAATAGCGTCTTGCGTCGCAAACGTATTTCGTACGTTAAATCGATGAAAGGCGATTCACAGCATGGATATCTGAAATTGATGACAACTGCTTTAAATGAGTTTATTATAAAGTAATTGCATATAAATTAACATAGTTTAGAAAAGTGATTTGATTTCTCTTATCAAAAAAAAAATTTACAATTAAATTGATCGTAAGGAACATATAGCATTACTGTTACCTTTTTACATGACGCTTACCCGGTACGCCAAGTATATCCCATTCAACACTTGGATAATAATCACTTAGATCAATTCCTGAAATTTAGATTTGATTTAAGAAATAGAAAAGTAGTCAGCATAAGATAAATAAGCTTTTCTTTAAATCTTTCCACAACATTCTTCTTGACAGCACTATTTAATTGATTTTTCTATTTCAAGAATTCTATACTCAAGTAAAGTGCACAACCTTCATCAACAATCCATACAGTTTCATCATATTCACCATCGAAACCAAGCAGTGTTTCTGTTTCTGCTCTTTCAATATGTGAATCTCTGTGCTGTAAATCAACTTCCAGACCACCATATGTCCAGGAACCTAGAAGCCAATTGAAAAAAGGTAAGCGATTTTCTTTTTGGGAAACTTTCTATAATTCAGATTTGTTTTCATAGTGAATGGATGACTGATATCACTTATATGATTCTTTCACAACGGAATCATATCCACTAACAAACAATAAAGTTATAAATTTTAAGCCCATAAATCTCAATAATCATTTTTCAAATTGTGATATTTTATAAATTTCATGTAAAGTTCAGGATCAACTCTTGATTTAATAAATTGATTTTTTCACACTGAAAATTTGATTGATTGATTTTTAAAATGATAAAAAAGTTTTCAGAAATGAAGTTGGCAATTGTTCACAAGTTAAAAAGGGCAAAATAACAAGATTTTATCTTACCAAATTTCATTTCACACGTTTGTACGTCGAAAGGAAACCATTCCACCTCTATTTGGCACATGCTGTAATAAAATGGTAACTTGTTAAAATAATCGTCGAAATACTTTGTAACTATTTAACTTGTAAATGATTTCCTTCAGATATTCAAAATTGCTCTGTTATTTTTATCAGAAAACATCCCCGAGAAATCTTAGAGGAGAAATATTTCATATGTCTTATTCAATATATGTCGTCAAATTGCAATATTTTAACTGCAGTGTTTGATTGCCGAATAAAATTTTATCTAATGGGTTTTGAAATATAAAGGACCTCTTGTAAATGGCAGGAGGTGACCATTCCACAGTACCATTGGGTGACAATTTTGCCTTTGTCATTATTGACACTTGATAATTACCATCTGCGCTAAAACTGATTCTTCAGAAACATGCACCCTAACAAATGATCATGAAAAGATGAACACCGCTTGATGAAATCTACACGTTTGTTTTCTTTCTGTCGCGTTTCTTTCATCAATTTCAGCAAATTAGTTTCTTAGACACAAGCGAAAGCAGCATTTGTTCGATGCGTTATTATTTTCATTTCAATACAAATTAGAAAATTTGATTTCATATTTTTTTTAAAAAACAAGAAAGGAGCGAAAAATATACTTGTTGTAGAGGACAATATCCGGTAGCCAAATCATGTCGGATGGCACATACAATACAGTTACTCCGCCGTAATCTGCCGGATTCCACTTTAATTTGTAATCAGTCCAGCTCGAAAAAATAACTTTTGAATATCCATTTAATTACAAATGAATATCCAATTAAAAATCACCATTATTTATTGCAGGATAGGTAATATAACATTATCAGCACCAAATGAATTATTTTTTTAAAGAACTAAAAAGCACGAAAAAAAAGTTACATGTTGCAGCCATACATTTGTCGTCATTATTTGATTCTTTTCATGCTAAAATAATTCCAATTAAATTTACAAATAATTAGATAGAAAGTGAAGAATGAAAAGAACAGAAAAAAAAGAAACGGTTTAGCTATTGTCAAGTGAACAATTTGGTTTAAAGCCAACATTTAAATGTTTGTCATATTTTATTCTTTTCTATCCTTATAAAATTCTATCCGATTCATACTTACTTCAAAGCTAAATGAATAAATTGTTATTCATTTTTAGTATTAAACTTCATTCAATAAGGAATGCATTGAAGTTGATTAATTCTATAATTCAAAAAAGAGTTTAAGGCTGTTCTACAAGTAAAATCAAAAATAAATTGTCAAATGACATACTACGTCGAGAAGCTGCGAGAGTTTCAGTTTCAGTCGAACAATCAGCGTATCAGTGTCATTTTCCACCGGCCTGACAAGCTTGTTGTAATCAGCGAGAAGATCCTCCATTAAGCGTCCAGCATCTTTACTACATTGTCCACCACCTGGTAGAAGCCATATTACTAAAACTGCCCAGCACGAGATTTTCAGGGATATCATCCATCCATTCATTCTTCTTTCACTGTTTCCATGCTTTGATTAAAACACTGATTGTAAATAGTTACAACATTTGAGAATACGTTAAATTAAGTGTCGAATTACTTATATTCATTGATCTACATAAAACTAATTAAACAAAAGCCGTGGCTAGAGTAAAAAATGGAAACATTGGTTACTTCAAATAAAAGTTTGTTGGATGCTTGTTGACAGTATGTTGTACGAGATTGTCATTAACAATATCAGTATACGATTAAAATACACCATTGGAATTCTGAGAATTCTGATTGAATGAATATTATTAAAAAAAAAAGAAAAAAAGAATGCTAAACAAATATATATCTCATATATAAAATGTATTGCGTATGAAAAAGAAGAATAATAAGAGATTAACTGATTCGGTAATCAGTTTCATTAGTCGAGAATTGATTGAAAATGAGTAACTTTTCTGCTGGATTTCATTTCGGAGAAATAGTGAACACTAAAGCAATTACTTTTCTGATAAAGAGCCAAATAATAAGTTGAGAATTGGAAGAAAATTAATTGAATAGAAAACAAAATAGATAGGGAATGAGGTAGTTGTTGACAAATGTTGAGTGTAGCAAATGTTATTTTAAAATTTGTTAAATCTTTTTGAATAGAGAAAGCAAATAAAAAACGAACAGAGAAAAGATACAACATACTGATGATAGTTTATAGCTAAAGCATCAATCGATCGTGAAGTGATCCAATTATTTGGATAATATCCATCCACTTCGTAACATACGAGAGTTGAAGTGAAAGAAAGCTGTTTCGGCAGTTAACTTGAACGGAAAGAAAGGATAGCCGTCCATCTTCTTTAAAAAAATAATTCTAAAGTCGTGAATTTTAGACAACATATCTATATTTATTCATTCCAAAATATTTTTCTCACCAGCCATACAAAGAGACACCATGATTTTAAAATAGCATAGAAATGGGATATTTATTTACGAGTCATAATTAATTCCAATAAACAGCCCGACACATTCCTACATAAATTCGATCGGTCGCTTGATGATTTGTAAATTATTTTTTTGTTCATACTGCTGCCGCTTTTTTTTCTACTATGATTCTCGACTAATTTTTGAATTTTTTCTTCTCGTCCCCATCTTCGCTTTTCATGGGTCATTTACTTTTTCTGATTCAAAATGGCATGAATTAAAGAAATATCAGTTTCTTTATTAGGAATTTTTGTTTTCATATTTACAGTTCTTCTTATTTATATTGTAATGATTCTTGTAATTGTTTAACAAGAAATATTACTTCCATGATAATGCAGCTATTAAAAATGTCATATTCAACAAAGCATTTGAGAAACTAACAAAATTTCGCAGCAATTTGCAATATATATGTAACGATGTGTATCATAATTTATGCTTTTCTTTGAATTTTATTCAGGAAACAGAACAATTAGCTTTCAGAATTCATTTTTGCACTTGTCATGCAATGATGGTTGCAATGGTACGTCCGGAAAACAGGCTGTAAATAATGCTGAACACTGTCGAGATATTGCGTCTGTCATCCTGAAGTTATCGTGAAAATATTCCTTCTTTCTAGTGACACTGGTGATTTAAATCTTATGAAACATTTAATGTAATCACTTTTTAACATTTTTGCAAATAAATATATTTTAATAGATTATCATTATTATTTAGTAAATATGCTTCCAGATAATAATTCAACATCATTTCTCTCGACTAAATAGAATTTCAATATGAAGTATGCGAGATAAATTAAACAATCTAGAATGACTTTTTTTTCGTGAAGGAAGTTACCTGTCAATAAGAATAGCTTTTAAGTGGTCGCGAGAAATATGCTCTTGGACAGTTTTCCTGTCCACATCAGCGAATTTGCATACCGAACATTCATAAGGAAATAAGCTTAAATGTTGCTTGACATGTTTATACAAGACAAGATACTCGCCCTCGAATACCTCTTGGCAAAAACTGCATGTTTTTCGTGATATCGGTGTTTGTATTATTGGTTGTATGCGTGTCTGAAACGATGAAACGATCGCCTTAATGATGAAATAATTTCAACCAACTGCACAATATAAAAATGAATGAAAGTCAGTTTATTATTAATAACTGGAGTGGTTGATGAAGCAGCGAACCTGTGGAGGATTATTCTTCGGTGCAGCTGCTAGAAGGTTAGTTAATGTGATACATTTTGATGAGCTATGTTCTGCTGCATGGATAACGAATGGTTTATATTCAGAACTGATTGCTGGAACGCTGGACACGCTCATTAGATCTTTAAAATGAGGCGTATCTTTTGAAGAAGGAATAGGCGCTGCTGGAAGCAGTAGTGCTACATCATTCGATGATGCTGGAGTTTGAAGCGTCAAATTTAATGGAAGTATAGCTGTGAGTAGTGATGATGTTGGTTTAAGACTTGGAGAACTTGATGTTTTAAAGGTGGATGTCAAAGATGACACTGATAAGGCAGCATTTTGCACAGCTGAAGTAGCAAAACAGGTGGATGGAATACACGAATTTGTTTCTGCTAGCGATTTCAGTAATGGAGACCGTGATATTGGTGATCGCCGAAAAATATGAAATGAGGAAAGATCCGAAAAATGACTTGGAAAACATTGAGATGCGACCTGCAATGAGTCAAAGATGTATTCGAAAATTCATTTCATAAATATGTGGTGATAGTAATTGTTTTTGATTGATTATATACTTAACGTAGCGATGATTCACAGTTTTGCGGTCTTTTAAGGAAGTATTGATTGAATGTGTATGTGAATGGAAGATGGAACAAAATAATCTTATTTGGCGTATTTGTCATTGCAAATAGAACTGGCTAACTTGCTCCGAAAAAGAAAAAAAGCCCTCTATACTCAAGCAATTAAATAAGATTATTAGTACTACGTGCTTACTTTCTCACTACTATGGTCTTTAGTAAGCTACAAAAACTTGTGATGTCAGTTTTCAATCTTCGCTTAATTCATCCTTACTGAACTTTCAGTAACGCCTAGATACAGAATACATTTTATAGGGCTAAATGTGCGCGCAAATAATGTGTTCTGCCGGTGGTTATAATTTTAGATAAGCAACCGATCTGGTACTGTTCCAGCGCATGATGCTGCAATCCAGTTTTTTGATCAGAAATGTGTAGTGCAATCAATTTTGTTGGATCTCAGTGTCGGGACATTGAGATGAAAAAGGAGGATACTGGGATAACAGAAGGAAAGGCTACTTAAATAACAGAAGAGAGGGCTACTTGGACGACACACTTATGGTAGACTTGGATTACAATGAATATTAAACGAACTTTGCAAAACTCCTTTTTTAGAGATGGATCCAATTCTATGATATCTGTCGGAGTCTGCTTATATTTGTGAACTTCCTTCATGTGTCGTGTTAAGAAATTTTTTGAATGATGCTGCAGTGTGCAATCTCCAACAGAACAACTGCAATCGAATATTATACAAAGGAATAACTTCATTCTCTCCGATTAAAACACTTTTACTGTCAACTCATCTAATCATTTATCTATATTTTCTCTACTTTGCATTTTATAGAGTTGAGTTCAAACTAAAACTAAAGCCTGTTATTATGAAATATGAGTTTGAATGAATTAGTTTAACCGGTAAGATGGCTGTGTGAGATGTGATCGAGTGTGTTCCTCCATAACTGTTATGTGTGAAATCACAAAACCATTACAAATCTGCAAAATCAAACTGCAAAATTTACAAATCAAAACAATGATAGTTTTTGCATCATTATTTTTTTCTATTTGTTACTGTAGTATTTGGGATTGATTCCAAGAAATATAAGGACTAAACCACTGGTATATTGAAGTACTGGCGCAGTTTCCAAGATTGGATAGTTTGCACTCACAAGTCAAACAATGTTGTATTAGGATCGATACTCACTCAAATTGAAAGAAAAAACAAGCAAAGTTAGAAATGGTTTATAAAATTTATTATTCTGAGCAATGACGCTGGCAAGACGACATTGAATATTTATGCATTTGGCAATCTTATACTAACTTCTCAGCAATCTCCCTCAAAAGAAATCACAGAAACTTTCTCAAAAAACTACAACTACAGAACTTTTTATGGTCAAGACAACATTCGATCTTCAAGAATCTCCTCTCAATGAATGATAAGTGCCATCTGATAAAACTTAATTATATATCAGTTGCCATTTTGCAAAGATCAACATAAACGATCATATTCTCGAAACCTCTTGTCGTGAGGACTAGACCAATTGCATTCTATCGGTCCTCACCGAACTTCCCTATAATCTTATTCGAAACAATAAAATTGCGCTGCATTGAAAGACAATGAATTATTAAAAATAGAAGGAAGAAAGTAACAGAGCAACCGTTTGTTACAATCAATTATATTACACATTGAATTCAACAAGTATGGCTGAAAGTAAATAACTTAAATTCTTTCTCAATCTACTTAAGGGCATGGCATAGCATACAAATATTGCTTTTTTTTACAATAGAAAACAGAAGATAAAGTTTAAATTTGAGGAAAGAAGACTGTGAAAATCATAGATGAGAAGATGATAATAGTTAACATGCATCAATATTTTCCACTTCTTTGAGAATACAATGGTAAGATTATCATCTAAGCTAACTATTTACTATCTTTCGATGGTTGCAAAATATTGTTCCATAAATATTATTTTTTAAAAGCGTTGAATCATTGTTTTTCTACCGTTACCGACATTGCCGGTAATAGAATGTTCTCTGTGAAAAGTTTCTAATTGATATTTGTTCATTATATTGAATTTTATTTGCAGAAAGCTGCTCTAATAAGGGAAAGCAATGCAGAAAAGAATAAGCTAGTTTAAATTCATTCAATTCTTAGCCCATCACGTCATTAGGAAATCATTTCTGGGTGATTATTCATTTGTTCAGTCCTGCTTGATTATTGTTGCACATTATATTTGCTATCCATAGAATGCACATTTTTTACCTCGGACAATACCGCCAAAAATGACATGAATGTTATCCACAAGAAAATTTTAAATTATATCTGTAATAGGTTCAGTTTTTAGACTTATACTGTTTAAACTTGTGGTAATGAGATATGTAACTCATACGACAATGTTCAATTTGCGTTTGCTGGTTACGTCGAGATTGTTCAAATTAAGAAAAAATGGATAAACGATGCCAATACATAATCAAGTGTAGGATGCATTCCACTCAATCACAAGCATAACTTATCCACTCGATTTATGAAAATTGCGTTTTTTAATTTGAATCATTATGTCGTTTAAAATAAATGCACAGGGCAAAAAGCTTACCAATGGATCGTGAATATATTTCGAGTGCCCTAAAAAAAGGAGGAAAGGATACTTTGATTATTAGAAGAAATAAAAGAAATAGACATAATTTAGACTTTAAATCACATTTATGTACGGAAACGAAAAAGTACAAGTGACCCACACAAACTAAAAGGTGTTGTGAGAAAAAACAAAGATGAACCAAGAAATAATAGGGAAAACCAGCAGTTTCATAGTTTCAGTGAAATGATGAAAAACATTAGGGAACATCGCTTTGAGAGAAGTAATACCTTTCAGACAGAACAGTCTATTTTACCAAATGGTAAAATACACTATTCTGCCTAAAAGGAACAAAAATTTGAGGAAGTCGAAATTATACATGGAAAATAAAGTTGGAAGAAATATTAAAAATCATAACAGTGACGAAAACGCTTAATTAAGGAGTCACCGCTTAAGATTAAACTTGTGTAAATTAAATCCGCTGCACCATAATATTTGCAAATTGATAACCTTTGTGTTATCCTTTCACTAAAGTAGCATCATTTTTTAGTGGGTAGATTGCACTCACCAATCTTTGCAAACTGGTAAACTGTCATCAACAAATGATCTAGGAACTCGCTCACTCATTAAAATATAATAAAGCAGATGAACTAGCAACTTCTTATTAATTAAGAATACCTTTATGTTTAACACCATGGTAAAACCTCACCTGACATTTCACTTCACGATTTGAAACCTCACTAAAATCAGGAACAATGCCCATTTTCAACGAATCCTCGATAACTAGACTTTTTTCTGCTCGTTGTGTATTGTACAATCTTGGACGATACTGCAATTTTAAATCATTTAAAAAAAAAAATTAATTGAAAAGAGAAAATATCGTTACTTTGAGTTCCTGAAGAAATGCGTTAGTCATTTTTTTCCTAATAAAATAGAAAGGATGTGGTAAAAATTAAATGATTTAACCTGAGTAGAATATTTGCTAAGCAATGCCTCTTCAACTTTGATAGAATTGCTGGGTTCTGTAGATGTCGATGCTTTATCATCCTGAACAGTTTCCTGATGTGCACGCTGCAATACATCTCGTGTATGCTCAACACACCGTTCTGCAATGTTCCATGCCCTGTAACCGAATTTTCATTTTTAATAAAATGTTAGTCATACACATGCTTTTATTCGTATAACCCATACTGTAATATTTATTACATCAATTTCAAATTTATCGAAATTCAGCACTACCGGAAAAACTCACTCGTGTTCTAGTTCAGTATTAATATCCCGGATAACTTCAGCCCTGCCACCATGCACTTTTTTGATATGCAATATAATAAATATTTCTTTTCTATTATCGTATCCACAAAAACTGCATTTATATGGGCGATATTGCAAGTGCGATTCGACGTGCATGTACCTGGAATGCATTCATTTAAGGTAATTTTTATGAAGCTCGATTTTAGATTCATTCTTGAATTATTCTGAACTTACGATAGAAACTTCCGAAAATTATTTCTGAAATGAATATTTTTGTTTATCTCTTTGAAAAGGCCTAATAACGGTGTGAACTTGGAGCACTGTATTTATTTCATATCGTAAAAAGACTGCATTCCTTGAGAATTGCTGCAGATTTATTCTAAACAATGTCACTGCAAAATAATTTTTGTATTCTATTCGCTCTAATAGTATTGCATAGGCCCTTCCACACTTTTTTCAGACAACTCATTAACAGCACGCCTTCCTCAAGTGTACTCATATGCACTTAATTTGTCTTCTATTCTTTTCGCCCCTTTTTAAATTCCTTTTTATCCCAAAATTTCTTCGATGAAAGTGATTTCACTTTCAGAATTATCTGTGTGAATTAACTGTTAATATATTAAGATTATACTGAAGAAAATAATTAAGGATGCGTATTTATGGAAGATAAAAAAATTAAAATTTATATATCAATAAGCTTATAAACAGGGGTAAAGAGAGTTTTGTGTTTACAATCAAATTTAGAGTGAAAGAAACAAGTGGGAAATTACCTGTTTCTTGAACACACCCACTCTCGACAAAGTAGGCATTGGATATTTGGATAATAGGCCGCATCGTTGTGCTTTGTTAATTTAGGAGTTGTTAAACGTTTTGCAATTTGCTTATTTGTAACAAACGAATAGATATTTCCACCAATTCGCTTATCATAATTTTGCAGTTTGTTCATTCTACCATACTGTCCACCCATTGCTGCAGAATTGGCATTCCTGGCGTCTTCATCTTTGTCAACATGCTTTCCTTCATAATTTGATACTGGTAACGTTTTACTTTCGTCTTCATTCCATTTCAAATCTGAAATTATCGCTTTTTTTGAAGAAGTTAAATCGCTCCCCTCCTACTTGTTGTGATCGTTTATATTACCAATGGTACACAGAAATATTTTATTAAAGAAAATAGATTGAAAATTCTCAATTTCCTTTTCAAAAAAATTTTTTTTTTTTTGTTACAAAACCAAAAAATGTTAAAAATTCATATTACACAACGCATGGAAATTTGCTCACAAACTGCTTTTCGTCTTTTGGATAAAGACAAATTGATAGGTTTATCAGTTTCAATTTCAAGATCACCATCCGTGTGTGATTTCAATTCTCTGTGATATCCTAAAAATATCAACAGTAGCTGCTAATTTTTCATCGAAGTTAATCGATTTTCTAGTAAACAGTGGTGTGTAGTAGAAATAAAGTAGTTTCACTAGGCGGAGTTGGCGTGCTATAAAGACGTGCTATAAAGAGGGAGTATTTCTCTGTTGTGTCACAAATGGAAAGATAACTCGGGAAACCACAATGATTATTCTTCAATCGGTCAAAATGTACTACAAACATTGTTTGCCGCTTGCTCTTTTTATTTTCAAGGGATCATAAATAATGTGTTTCATTTATTAAATGATTGTAAAAGGTGAAGCAGCGGTTCTTTGATTACTTAATTCTTATTATTCCAAACGAAGTAAATAATGTTAGATATAAAATGTCAGACAGTGAATTCCTTGATCACTTAAGTTTTCTTTGCCTTCAGGAGGGATGCATTTCATTGTCAAATGATTGTAAAATATTATTTACTTAATTTTCTTTAATCTAAAAGGAATATATATACAAAGGACTTCGAGTCGGTTCATATTCATTATCATATAAATTTGTAGCCATTCATTTTATTCGCTGTTACCTTCGTTGTGACATACAAACCGTTCCCAACTAACTTTGATTAGTGCTACTATCAGTACTACTTCAACATATTGATCGAATCTACTTCATGATAGTCTAATAAATGTTCGTGGAAGAATGAACAATTGGTCAACTAACAAACCCTTGTCAAACTATTCAACTGTGTCACAATCAACAAAACAACTTCCATGACAAGATATGCAATACTTAAGCGAGAGTCGAAATAGGACAAGTTGATCACATTGATTTAGCTTACCGTTATCTACTCGTTTTAATAAATGCTCATTTTTTAAGGTAAATAGATCTCCTTTCGGTAGTACATAATATTCACTTGAGACAATATCATGCTTTGAATCTGGGTGCTGCACGGATACGCGATTATAACTGTTTGTTCGTAATGCTATAAAGAAATTTATATATATTTGAAACTGTTTCTGGTATTTCGGGTGCTTTAAATGAAATTTAACGGCAAGTCATAAATAACTAACTTTTGGGATAAACACAACTCGTACAATCAGTATATACTGTTGGTGCTTCATCTTTCGCTTTTACATCTCGTCTGCTTCGCTTTATCAAATCTGAACAAAATTGGGAAATTTGCAATGCATATAATTGTGTAATTAGAGAATGGCTATGATTTTTCTATTCTCTAATTAAATACTTCCACACTCACATTTAACGCATTTTCGATTTAATTATTTTTCCTGACGTTTCATTTTAAGTACTTGCAGTTTATTTCCCAAAGAAACATTAAAAAAGTGTTTGTATTTTAGGAAAATTCTTAAAGAGAGTAGCAGGGGAGATGACAGTACGGAAAGGGTAACGAAATGGATGATTCTATAATGGGGTGATCAAGTGAAAGGAAAAGAGAAAACGCCCCAACGAAATAATCAAACAATAGTGAAATGAAATGACACCTATATACGAGCAATACATTTTTCAAAATTAAATTTGGTCACCAAGATAACTAATGATAACGATCACTAGAAAATGTCCACGTTAATTCAAATCTTCAAAACTTTTGCAATTAAAATATTAGATTATTGCGTTTTCACCAAAATTTCAATTAAAAAAGAGATCAGAAATTAACTGGTATAAGCGCTAAGTCACTCAGCTAGTGCCAGTCATCCTAGATAAGACCTGTAAACAGATCAACATTGATTGAATAAAGGAAGGTGAATATAAAGCACCGAAGAAGCCTTCACATACACAAAAGACATAAAGCGTACTGAGCGGTTGATTTTCGACATCATTTGCTGTGACGGTTGTGCTCTCCAAATCATGCGACTTCCTGTATAGTTCGGGAAACTTTCGTAGCAACCATTCTTCCAGGGCTGCACCGCGCTTCCGACCGCTGCTACTTGTCATTTCAAGATTGGAAGTTGTCACAGAGTCAAATGATTTCGAATTAAGCAGTGCTTTCAATGAGCTCATTTTTTCCTAAATCCGCAAACATTATCTTCAACTTCATTATTTAAAAACTTTAAAGATTTACAAAAATTTTACTTTTGAATTCCTTGAAACTACAATTCTAATATACATAACAAGATCACCTGTAGGAAATCCAGAGGTAGTGATTGCAGGAGAATTTAAAAAATAATGGAAATTACTGAAAAACAAATGAAGCCGTATAAAAATGTCTCAGGAATATGATGAAACTGATTATGCAGTTCAGCTAATGACAGGTAAAGCATTCAGATGAGCATTAAAGATATAGTAGGAACAGTAGACATTTACTGTGCAAGTGTTGAAAAGTAAGAGTAACAACAAATTACTATAAAGAAATCAGAATGATGAGAGTGTCAAATCTAGAGCACTCCAATCAGCTGCTTACTGCTTTTAATACAGGTTTCCAAAACAAGTCATTGATGGTCTGTATATTTTCCATCAACTGTACTTATTGCACCAAGCCATTTCGTTTTTAATAGACTTTTTTGCACTTTATAATTGTTAATTTCATTGCATAATAAATGATTCTCAAGCAATCCCCATTTACTTCTTTGAACAAACATTAATGATAAGCTTTCCGTAAAGCTTGCATATTTTCTCTGAATTTTTTTTCATTTTTAGGCCTGAAATTGTTTGCAAATGTAACAAGGCATGAGGTAAAACAAGATCATGGGTGCGTATATGTGACTGATATCAAGAAAATAACGAGTGAAATATCCTTCCTGTTTTTTGAAGTTATGGAGAATCTTTTCAAATGAATAGCAATAAATAAAAGAATTAACAAAAACATAATCTATAGAATTTAAATTACTACATTTTTGAAAATGACTCAATATTTGAAGAAAAATTGTTGAGAAATAGAGGAAAAGAAGAAGCCGGTGTAATACTCATTGGATAATTGTCAAATTTGAGATATGACATTGCAAAAAATTGAAATATTAGTCTTTAGCAAAGCACTTTAATATACCAGAGGATTATGAATGAAAGGGGATGAAGATTCATGAAGAAATAAAAAACTGGTGTGTAGAATGTTTTGCAATGTTTTGCAATGTTTTGCAACTATTCGGTGGCAATTTCATGCACTTTATGCACTAGTCATGGCACTACAAATAATAAACTTATTAATTAAGTTTGGATAAATTGTCATGTAATAGAAATATAAGATGCACTGAGATATGAATCCAATTGGTGGCCAAACTAGCATGATACTAAGAGTTTTAGAAATATGGAAGATTATTGAGAAATCACGTTTTTCAGTTGTTTGATATTTTTGCCGGTAATAGAAGCTAACGTATACTGATGATATATCAAGTAACGCAACTCAGAGTGGTCCCATGTTGAAATCCGACCCCTAAGTTTGTATCGCAGTAACAAATGTGTTCCGTCTTTAATTTCCATACATGTTCCACAATAAACCCTACTTTAAGTATACTTCGAGCACAGAATAATAAAATATTTACCGGACGTTATTTTTTGAAATGGATCTATTAAAAGTACTAGCACGGAACTACAAAATTCATAAGCACATTGTATCTTTTGCGATAATTTGAAAACTTAACAAGAGAAAAGCCCAGTTCACTGTCCGGCTCATAATGAAAATTAAATTCGTTAGAATCAACTTCATTGTTTTGATTACTTCATCTGAAATTTGAAAAGATCTGAAATTTCTACTCAGAGATCTAAGGAGATTTTGAAAATCTGCCAACCTTCCATTTCTTTTAAAGAATGCTGCGATGATATGTGCTGCATCGAAAGAATACTATGCATTTCAGCTTTCAGAACTGGAAGCAGAGTCACTTTGATAAAAATCCTCTGACAGGGAAGTTAAAGACTTGATATATGGAATATCGAAAGAAATGCAAATGAAAATAAAAGTTATTTTGAAATTGAAACTGCACTAACGAATCGCTGTCAAACGTCAGCTGAAAATGCGTACATAAAAAATGGGAGCGCATAAACCAGCAACACAATGACCGTTTCAACTGACCATTTTGTGTCTTTGTCTGTGCACTGAATCAGATTGCTCGGTGAGGTGTCTGCAGATTCTTCGGATTTCCATTTCTTCTTTATCTTCTCGTATTTTTCATTATCACAATTTTTATGCACGTGTCCTGCCTACTAATGTAAGACACAGGTTAATGCATTTATGGAACTTAGTGATATATTGATATATTAATTTATCATATAAAATAATTGTGAAGATGAAATCTTTTACTAAAAAATATGCCAAATCTGGTGTCGTTCATTTATTTTATACTATAGTTTACTGCACTGCTAAAATATTACGATACTACCAACTAATGTTCCAGCATTGACAATGCTACAATGGTCGTTTCGGAGGTTAAAAGAGGAATTCTTGAATTACAGATAAGTACATGCCAGATTAGGAATGGTTGAGATTCTGAATAAAAAAAAGGATGCAGAGGTCGACAGGTTGCTATAGGCATATCCAGACCCGGTTTTCTTCAACGTTTCTAGGTCACTGGTCAGACAAATACAATGAAAGACAAACAAAAGTAGTTTTGAATAGAAGGGAGAAAGGGTGAGAGTTCTCTCTTTTCTTCTTTAATATCGAATCTTGTTGAGAGGCCACTGTTCCAACCTTTCCAGTGTTCATCCTTTCTCCACATCAATTCCTGTACATCAGGCACTGTTCAACCGATATACATTTGAGAATCATTTGTTCGGAACCTGAGCGCACCACATAAATCTACGCCATCCCCTCGACACATGATTTGCTGCGCTGACCTGAATTCATCCCCTCCATAAAAACAGTATAACTTTTGCAGGCTTTCAGTAATATGCAGCGCATTAAATGGAAGAATGTTCTTGCTGTAACTTTAATATACAACTAAGTTTCCTTATCTTATCTCAATTTTGTGACAGATTAATTTTTTCCTACACACTCCGATGAAACAATGAAAGTGAAAAAATTGGATTTTATACATTATAAATGTACTATCAAGGTATTTAAAAACTTCTCACTTAAATTGATGTACTAATCAATTGTATTAAATGAATAACTAATAAAGAAAGAATCATGACACAGTACTTGCTCAGACTGCATTCCTATGAAGTTTTTCCATCTGCAATTAATTGTTAACACATGCCTGAATAAAAAAATTTATTTTTCAAGTCGGAATGCAACAGAGTTGAAAATTGACAAAATACTCGACTAATGCAGCAAAAATTTTTCAAAAATATGACATCAAGAATTGCTGAAATTTGTCCCAATGCTAAAGCAGGATTTACGATTTCATATGAATTATAAGGAGAGAAAAAAATTTTTGCTTTAGTCGATCAATGCATTACAAGTTACTGTGCCTTTATATTGCTATGGAATTTGTTCAGCAACTTTAGCTTTTAAAGCTTACCAAGAGAAAGAGGTCAATGGTCAATGAAAAAGAAAATTAACTAATGAATTTTGGAATCTTATAATTACTAATACAGAAATTAGCAACACTCTGTACCACTTTTAAAGAACGATCGTTTGTATATATTTCTTTAAAAATTCGTGCATCCGTAAAATTCATGTATTTCATTCGACAAAAAACAAAAACCTACACTTTCAGACGTTCTATCGTTTCGGTTCCCTTTGTTTTAACATTATTCAGCTCGACTTTAGCTTCAAAAAAATTTTTAAAGTCCAGCTCCAATTAACTTGCTAGTTCGATCTTAACAAGCAGTGAGGATAACCTTTTTTAACTGTTCTATCGTTTCAGTCCATTTTCTGGAACCAATTAATATTCTTAAATGTTTTTGAATTCTTTGGCATCTTTTTCCTTCTCCGCGCCTATCCTGTCCAACTCATCCCAACGTACAATTCTCTTCCTGACCCCGCTTTTTCCACTTCTTATTTGCAAATACATTTTAAAAATGAGTGAAGTAAGAAAATTAGAAAATGTGATTTTAAGGATGAAAAATATACCCAGGATATTGTTAAGTCGAAGCACTCATCGCTATCTACTTCCTTCTGTTCATTCGCTGGCTGTTAAGGAGTTAGAAATTCCTGCAAGTGATAGACGAGCATGGTGTTGCACACAATGTCGGATGAAATTGCATACACTTTTTTTCTTTTTCAGTTAGCACATTTCTACACTGTCCTTTCTTGTAAGTACTTGCGAACTTGTTAATCTCCACCACACTTTGCAGCTATGTTATCTCGCCTTGAATTCCCATTCAAATATTATACTTACTCATTACGATTGATCTGAGAGAATCGATACAAATAATCATTAAAATCAGCCGATGAGAAGATAACTGAGAAGCAAGGGAAAGTTGTGGATTGCTCTTGGAGACCACTGTTTGCTTATGATAAACCACATTTCGTTCCTCCTCGCTTTTTTTAAAAAGAACATGAAAAGGATTTTCTAGGCAAATAGTTCCGTACGTTAAATCATTTGCACCCAGCCAGGATATTATAAAATGAGCTGTATGCTTTTTCATCTGTTTTTTTGTAGATCTTTAAATATATATAAATACTTGCTTGTTTTCTGATGACTGCTTGAGTAGGTTATCCTTAGCATGTATCACCGACGATTCGTTTGCTATCATGATGGAATAGGGCGTCCGGTGATCAGCTATGTCGCAAATGGGGCACACCTATCAGGTAACGAGCTGTCGCTGAGACGAAACCATAATTTATAACATCAGTACATAAAGAAAGAGGATATCTCGTAACGAATTCATCTCACAGCATCCGTTCTTTCAACCGTCCAGCCCACACCATCCTCCCTTCCCATGAAACTCCATCTCAACTTGGTTCGTGCTCTTATCTCTCAACAACTCCCAACGGTATTTTGCGGCAGGCCGGTGCCTGACGTGGACGCCTGATGTGAGTTCTCGTATGCGTGTTGGGTGGGATGAAGGTGGGGTGGAGAGATTGTGAGTGGGGTTGGCAGCGCTGCTCGCAGGTTGAGTTGCGTAAGAGGTTGATATGTATCGTTGGTAAAAAATGAATTAATGATAATAGGTCAGGTGCTGTGATAGTTTGGAGCGTCTCGCTGAAATGGCAAGTGTTCAACATTGTTTTTTAGTGTTTTCCATTTCGCAAGCTTCTTAAGGCAGCTTTGTGTGTATGACAGTGTGCGCGAGAGGGAAAATGGTTATATGCTGGTATTGACTTAAGTACATGATATTTAGGTGAATATTCCTAATTTTCAATTATTGGGGCAAGAAATTTGTTCAGCTTGTATTCACGTAGTTTTTATTTAAGTCTGATGTCAACTTAAATAATTAGCATTTTAGAAACGGTGCCACTGTTTGCTATTATAAGGTTTCTAAATTGAAATTTATTTTTTATTTTAAAGCTATGTTAATATTTAAATGATTATGATTCGAATCATTGTTGCGAGACACAATTAGTTCATTTCGTTTAATTCATTCATCAGATAGGCCTTCATTACTTTGAATTTCTTAGTTATGACTGTCGACGTGATGCTTATCGACTCGTCTTGTCCTCATTCATATGTTACGCTGTTAATCAATATCTCTTTGTAACACTGTTGATTCTTTCGTCCGCGAGACATCATTCCAGAAAGGTTATGACAAATATTTGAAAACTCCTTTATAACAATACCAGTGTTCCAATAAGATTGTTTGCACTAGCTATAATTCAGTATGATGAATAACTAAGTAAATTACTGCCAGTCAGTTGGAATTGTTGCACATTGAGTGCAGCTGTATTAATGGTATGTCCTGGAAACATACTGTATTGATTAGATGTAGAATACTAGATGTTAGTGGTCCTATATGTCGAATTCCAAAACGTCATTCATGTAAATCCAAACTAAAAACGAAGAAAGGAAATTTTTATTTAAGCCGCTTCTTTAAACATGTATTTATTTCATATGATGGAAGCGCTCTTTGACAAGATTATTTACTTAGGTTTTGTGATGCGAACACGCGGAATAGATACTTACTGTTTTGATTCTACTTTCATCCGTTTCATATCGGTTCGTCCATACATTATATCCAGTCTGTTACATTGTTTGTCATGTTTCAGGTGTATCTCCATTGATAGGTGTTTCGATGTCGATTTCAACCATTAGACGTCAAGTAAAAAATGTCGCCTACAATTTCTCGGACGCACAAGTTAAAGTTCGAGAAGCCACCAGGTGACCAAGTTATGAATTTTACAATTTATTTTCTTATGGTATAAAACGGTTTTGCTACATATTCCATGGTAGATCTCTTTTCCCACAGAACAGAATTTAATGAAAAGAATTTCATTTCGGGAAAATAATCATTAATAGTGAGTGTTACGACAGAAATCATGGTGTGTAAACTGAAACAATAACATGTGAGCCGATCACTACATTATATGAGGTGAAAGAAACATAATTTTCTCATAAATCGATAAATCTGCACAAAACGACAACCAAATTCATTATTGAAGAAGATGTATTCAGCACATTTCGTTCTCTATTATTTTTTGTTATTTTTAACACTTTTTTGTCATTAGTAATAGGACTTTTGCCAGAAATCAATGAGAGAATTGGTTTCTGTGAGAATGATGTGTTGCAGCAATGATCCTTGGGGACCCTCTACGGCATTGATGTCCGAAATCGCAGATCTAACACATAATCCAATGTCGTTTACTGAGATTATGTCCATGCTTTGGAAGAGATTAAATGATCATGGGAAGAATTGGAGGCACGTGTACAAAAGTCTTGTTCTTCTGGATTATTTGATAAAGGTTATACTTTCTTAGTTTTGCTTATATTGTATTTGGTTATTCAGAAGTTTTGTTGGAACATTGCATATGAATAAGTAATCAAAAATTTGAGTCTTCTTTAGTTTTATACCTTATTTTTCACGTTAAACTTTTTTTTTCAAACTACATTTATAGTTACTACAATACACTGATGTCCGTTTTAGTGTGGCAGTGAGAAGGTGGCTCAACAGTGTCGAGAAAATATCTACTCGATTGAAACGTTGAAAGATTTTCAGCATATTGAAGATAATAGAGATCAGGGTATGAATGTACGGGAGAAAGCAAAACAGATGGTTAGCCTGCTATATGATGAAGAACGACTGAAAAATGAACGAACAAAGTTCATGATGACTAGGAAGAAGTTCATGTCTGGTTCTGGTATCTCTTCAGATGGTTCCGTACGACACATGCGCAAAACCGATACTGGTCCTGCCTTTGGTAGATTTTGGCTTTTTTACGCTTTTATAAGATTCTCATTGTTTTAACAAAATTTTGTTTGGCAGTTCCACTGCCATATTAGCGTGCTATTTTGCTTTTTTTTTAGGATCTTTAAAGAATTTTTAGAATCAGAATTGGAAGATGCACGACCAGCAAGTGCTGGTGAAGAAGAAATGCAGTTGCAGATTGCGCTTGCATTGTCACGGGAAGAAAGTGAGAAGGAAGAAGAACTAAGGAAAAAGGATGACATTGGGCTACAGGTACATGTAGTATTTCATTTTCAGAAGGTCGTGATTATTCATTTTGTAGGATTTTTTGTACTGTGATATTTCAGTATGCCAAAAAATGGTTATTCTGAAAAAGAACATTTAGGTTATATAATGAGCAGGAATAAGTACGTCCTTTATAATGTACTGGAAATGGCACCGATGTTAAATTCAGAGGAATTCAGATGGCACTAAACGAGAGTCGTCGTGAAATCGAGCGAATGAATTCCATGGATGCTGTCGGTCAGAACACAGTGTCAAGTTCAACTCTTTCGCAAAGTGCGATCGATGACTTGCTGTCACTAGGAGTGGGGCAACCTGTTGAACAAATAACTCCAAATCCATGGGGTGGACCAGTTGCTGATCCGTGGGCACCGGCTTCTGGTATTGCTCCTGCAGCAATTGTTGGTTGGTGCTTTAGTATTGACAGTTCATTTCTTTTAGCTGATGGAATGTGCTGTTTTTTTTTTTTTTTTGATATTGAAGAGCTATTTAATACTAGTCATAAGACGAGAAGGGATGATTCAAATAAAATATATACGCTCAAAAAAAGATTTATCGAAGTTATTATTCGAATAAGCCACGAACTGTAATTTTAGGATCATCCCTATACTCAAACATCCAAACGATCAATAATGACCCGTGGACACTGGCACCTCCAGCAACCGGGGCGACGGCAAACTCTGTTGATCCATGGGCTAGTGTGCCTTCTCTTACCAGCCAAATTCCAGTTTCCACTGCTGAAGAAAATAGTTCCAAACAAAGAAGCAGCACAAAAACACCCGAAAGTTTTCTCGGTGAAAACTCATCCCTTGTTAATTTAGACAATTTGCTTGGAACGACAAGTAACAACGCAAAACCAGGTTTATTTTTTCCCTTCCAATTTTATATAGTCCTAGCTATGTAGCAAATAAAAATCAAGACATGAACTCGAATGATACCTTCCTATATGATAAAATCGTTATTTTAGCCAGCAACCCATTTCTTTCTGGTACTGGTGCAACGGTACCAGTAAACCCATTTGTCGCTCAGCAACGCCCATCGCCGTCGCTTAATGAAATGATGAGTCAGAACCGCATACCGCCAACGGGAAATTCCGTCCAGACAGCTATGCAGCCACCGCTGGTACCAGTTCCGGCGTCAGCGTCAACTCAACCTACCAACCCATTTTGCTAATTTGTTGCATGGCTTGACTGATCATACAGTCGGATTTTGAAGCGAATATTATAATGCATTTTCAATATGACGCACTTGCGTCTATGAATGGTCTTATTCTTCCTCTCATCGCTTCTTTCCTGTTCATTGCACACCGTTTCTTCATTTCTGGCTTTTCAAAATATCTTGTATATAGGTGGAGGTATTTCAGTTATTTGGTATGATTTTCTTTCCAATAAGAAACAAAAACAAATCGTAGATGTAAGTAGCATATTCCATTTGACCTCCTATAGAATTTCATAATTTCAAACCACGCCTGAACGTTTTCTCTGATCATAATTTCTTTAATCCAGTCTTTCATCCGGCGAATTCTTTTCTTTTGCAAACCCTTGAAAACTACAGAAATTTTAAATATTTACATTTCGCACCCAATGATTTACTTTTATGATAATAAAGCGTAATTTGTGATCACTTCAGCTCCAACATTTTCTGGATATTTTTCTGAAATTTTTTCTACTGTTAGTTAACTGTGACAGGCTTGGAGCTGTGCCCTACCCGAGTTTATGTGATGAACATTGTGTATTCTGTTTCCATTTCTCCGTTCGTTTTTAAAAAAAACCGCAACCTGTAAGCGTCTAACACATCGCGTAAAAAATTACTTGTAGCTATTTCTGAAACCTTGTCTAACAGAATACAGGCATTATTGTTTTGTCGACAGGAACTCCATCAGGCACGACTTGGCAGTGCAAGTATTTGTCCCATATGGACGCATTCGATTATGGAAAGAAGTAATTGGCTTCCAGAAGCTGCCATTTAACTTTTGAAGTAAGTATCTCACCTGCAACAACAGGTGCTCGCATTCTCGACTTTTGGGACAATTGGGTCATACATTTTAGACACTGATTTAATTATATATAGATAGTAGGAATTTTCTGCACAGTTCTCTTGAAATTGATCAGTATACCTTGCAATTACTCTGTATAGTTTATATTGATATGGTTTATGACAGAGCGTTGAATATTGGAAAATAGAGGAATCAATTTGCTATACAGCGTTGGTAGTACAAGCAATGAAACTGCGCAAGTATAGATAATGCTAATAGCATTATCGGAGTTCGAGCGATGTATCGAATGCATCATCCGATAGAGTATCATCAAATTGAAAAGCGTCATTAAGGCGTGACATCGAATTTAGAATTGCGGACAGTCGGGACGAACCACCTTCTTCTGTATTAATTTGCTTCACCTAAATATATCCATTATATTCAGGGTGAAGTATAATAAAGAAAATGAATTGGTGAAAGAGATAACCCCAAGCTGGTTTAGCTGTCCCAGCAGACGGTCAACTTCATCTGGTGATCTCATGAATAGCCACTCCAACTTTTCTTCATTTTTTATTACACAAGCTGAGCGCTCAGCAGCAAATACTCCTGTAGCCTGGGACATATGCACCATGTCGATGCGCGCCAGCAGTCTCACAAATCCATCAACCGCACAATTCATCCCCTCTTGAGCTATTAAAATACTTTTTTCACACAAACATACTATGCAGGCTGCTAGCTCGTCATCCATGTCCTGCAAAGAAAGGATAGCAGAAATCTATGAAACAAATACCTACACAACTTTACTCCATATTTAGGGTTGGTCACTCAAGATTTTTCTCATATTATTTGTACCTGATCCAATGGGACTTGCAAAATCCTTCTTTTAAACAGGAATATGCCAAATCAAAATATACAGGTAAAGTAAATTCTATTTGAAGTATATCAGCAAAGCAAATACCGTGGATGTGATTGCAAGAGTTATTAGCGATATCCACTTATGCATGTCAGCAGCGCTCTGACATATGAACTGAATTCTGCTATTTTTAAGAACTATTTCGAACATATGTGGTGAACGATCGTCACCTTTGAGTTCTGTTACATCGGTAACTGAATCTCTAGAAAGAAATTTCTTTTGCGAAGCACTTTTTCATCCCTAACTTTAGTGCAAATTCAATTATTCTAAAAATACCTGATAGATATAACGCGTTCACCGAATTTGCACGTAGAATCAGAAAACTGATAAAGTTTTTTATTCTGCAAATGAAAGTAGCTGTGTTGAAAATCGCCTGAACCAAGGAGCCACGAAACGCCACCGCCAATTTCTTTATGATATAAAAAACCACTGTGCTGATAACCTTCTCCACTCATGCTATATAATTTCGTTTGTCTCCATTGGGCAAGATAATACCCATAAAGTACAGGCGCATCCTGTGAACCGTCCAAAATTTATATTCACATGATATAATTTACTATAAAATAACGTCAAGTCATAAACTTTATCTTTACAAATATAAAAATATCACCTTATGCAATTCCTTGGACATGAAATTAATAAGATGCTGTGGAGTGCGATCAATGTACACGTTCAATTTGATTTTATCGGATTGAAAATTTGACGCATAATTTCCATATGCATATTTCAGAGCATCCAAAATGGCGATACCAAGTTGTTTACATGCTGCGCATATTTCCATAACTGACAAAAACTTGTCGGCTTCACCTTCACACACATTGTAATTTTTTTCAGCATGCAGATACATCACTTGCAAATCTGGACCAACCTGAAAACTCTGATAAAATATTCCAGAGAAGGAACCACTTCTTTTGACTGGGCTTAGAATTTAACTTACATGAATACTGCTGATATATCGAAGTGGCAGATAAGCACGTGTAACATATGACTTTTTAGATATTACAAAACTTTCTGCAGACAACAAATATGCCGCTTGATTAGAGAGAGCAAATAACCGTCTTTTAATTTCTCCCGTGCCGAAATGTGAATACACCTTTAAAAGTACATGTAATAATAATTCACCATAATGTTTTGCGTGTTGAAGATTTAGAATTTTTCAATAGAAGACAATTTGGTCAAATAAAAATTTAAAAGTCGCATATTCTTCATCTATTTTTTTCCATTTCTGATTTAAAATTTTTGGATAAGACAGTATATACCTGAAACAGGCGCATAAATCTTTCAGCATCGTGTTTGAAAACATTTATGCTAAGGCCAATCATTTCACCCATATCCAACCTTGAAGACCATTTCTCAACTGTTAAACAAATAAGCAGTAAATGAACAAATATCGGCACACTGTTTTGCAGTTTTAATCCGAAATTGCGAAGAATTTTCAATTCGAATTTCATTAATACCATTTGGCAGTCTTTAGAATTCAATGAAAAGATGAAGAAAGCATACCTTATTTCGCCACATGGAAGATCGACTAACGTTGTATTCGGTGATGTCCTGTGTTCACATTCATTATAGTGAGCATCCTCTACGGACAATTTTGCTTTCGACAAACTTGTTTTCAGAGCTATATCGAAAGGATCTACCGAAATTGTAGCATTAGAGACCTAAATTTAAATTGTAGCAGAGCGGTAAATCTGCGATATTATAAATCAGCCATTAAGAAAATATTTGAAAGACAAAAGCTGGTAAAATCTGCAAAGATCTGAGAGCTTTAAAACTAATATATTAGTCATCACGCAAAGTAGTAACTATCACTAAAAAATCATATAAGTTCCAACATTAACATAACCAGTTGTAGGTTTAAATAAATGGTTAAGCCGTTACTAATGGCCCTCGACGGCTATTGCTATGTTTGCTGTTCAATCGCATGCGCAAGAGAGAATAGACAGTGCTATATTTCGAAGTTATTTTAATTTCACAACAATGAATACCGAAAAACCATCAAAAGGCCCTGTATTCCAAGTTAACATAACGAAGGTGATGAGAAAATGAGGGGCCCCATTTAATTCTTAATATAATTGTTGAAGTTTTATAATCTCTTAAATAAAGGTCTTAGATTTTCTTTAAGACTTAAAAACATGTGTGCGCATGATATGATTTCAGTGCAGTAAATAAATGTTCGAAATAACAGCTATAATTGCGAAGTATAAATAATTTAGAATATACTTTCTTTGAAACGCATTCATGTTTGTTAACAAAGTATAAGGAAAATTTTGAAAACTTACTGTGGAATTGCTTTTTTTTGTTATAGAGTTAAGAAATTTTCAAAATGGCACGAAGCAGACAACTATTTATAGGAACTCAAAAAATATTTACAAAAAAATTATATCAGACTTTCTCTGTTCATAACTAACGGTATGTCTTTCTTCATCCATAGTATCCTCCACTCCACTTTCTTTTGGAAGGCAATCACGCATACCATCTGATGATTCACTTTTTCTACGTTTCAATAGTTCACCAAAAATTTGATCCTAAACATTTCTATTTATATTTAAATCATCGTCTTTGTATTTCACAAAAATTTAGAAAAAAAAAAGCCTCTGAGACTTATAGAAGAGCACGATATGTCAGACATGAAATAATTGTTATCGGATTAAACTAGTCTTTGATAAATCATTACAGCATCATTTTCTGGTGCAGTGATATCCTCATCATACGCTGTAGTATGAGTTTCCACGAAATCCTCTGGTAATGGTATATCAAGCAATAATGACGAGACATCCTGAGAATGTGTTGAAAATTCTGTTCGAGATCCTTGGCGAATTGCTGGATGACTCTGTTTTTCATGTGAATGTCTGGATAAGTCAACCAAACTACCATCTAATGTTGATGATCGCTGATCACCAAGTGATGGACGCATTACTGCTATTGGAATATCGTTATGTTTTTCAAAGGGTTTCTGAAATATGTCCAAACTACAAAATACTAATAGTAAGTTCTGCTTCGTAAAGCGAGAGTACAATAACAGATTTCGCTACAGAAAGGATACAAGCACATTTTGGACATTACAAACCGAACTAAATATTTGTGTAGGATTTCCACATTTCAGTTAGCAATTACTAATTACAATTTTTTAATGATACAGAGCACAAGCAAAAAGCTAATTTCTACAGCAAGCCTATTATTTAGTTGATAAATGTAATGAGATGACCAAATCATATGTTATATCTAAAATGAACAAAACGAACCAAAAATTTGAACTGAACTTCAGAAAAATCCGCCATTTTCTGTACAATGCGAGAAAGTAGAGGTTGATTTGCCATCACTGATTCTTTGTGGTAGAACTTTCGAATAGTTTCTAAATCTTGTTGAAAAGACTGAAATGCAACTTAAAAAGCGCTTAAAGCGAAATATAACACAGAATTATAACATGAGAAACAAAAAAAAAAAAAACGTTCGTCAATTCACGACACAAAAAAACCCATACTGTGATACTGCGTCACTCACCCCGATCACGATGTCTCATCACTGCACAGGGTTGGAAAGGATCAGGCAATGTCAAGAACAGAAAACTTATACCTCAAAAGTTTTAAGTTCAAAAAACAATGTCTTGTGTAGGCCAGCTTAGATAAATCAGTCGAAAGCGCCATGGTCTAACACATTTCGAAAACGAAATGGTTTACGATTACCTCTGCAATTCTTTTTCAGAGGTCAAAAAAGATCTCAGTCTCCAAAAATGCACCACACACCAATGGCAATTAGCCCATCCATGCATCTAGTGAATATATTTATATTAAGGGAGTTATGAAAAGAAGAACGTATCTGAAAATGGACCTGAAAATGGTACAATAATGTCTGTTTATTGAGAACATCCTTGAGCCATGCAACTGATAGCTGTCGCGCTGAAGTAACACGCCATTCCCGTTTCAAATAATCGGCTTCGTTGCGCAACATGAACTCTTTCACAAATAACCAATATAATCGGTTACCATTGTTAAACCTAAACAAATTAATTTTAGTTGCATGGAAATATTGTTTTCATAATAACAAGAGTAAAATCCTACAAGTTCAACTTACCAATACTATCAGTTTTTTGGCTTAACTACACACAAAAAAGAATCCTTAATAAGTATAAGGTGAAAAATATACTGCATATCTGGTGAATGTGGATAGCAGTTTCACGTGAATACACTATGCACAAAGACGCACAAGAATACATTATCTATCGACATACCCATAAGAAAGAAAAAAATCGAAGATTGTTATAAGATTTCGTGCAGCAACAGAATTTGAATCAAGAGGTGGACATCGACCTCCCAGCAAGCGCTGTCTCCATTCGACCACAGTATCCGTGATAGCACGCATAACAGAAGCTTCGATATGAGGATGAGAGGAAAGTGTGACTTCTGCATAATATTTTCTTCCTCCTCCTCCTTTGAATCCGTCCAATGGAGTTATCGTTATCATCCTCTTATTCAAAACTAATCAATTTAACATGCATGTGCATCTCATTTTACATGCTTCATTTAAGCCAATCCAACCCAAAAGAACAACTTTAAAACTTCAGAATTATTCAAGCGAAATCCAAATTGCGCCCCTCAAGTTACTTTCATTACCTGAGATAATTTGAACAGAGATAGGTGGGAATTTATGCAACCTATCCGTAATGAATCTCCTACACTAACCAAACCCGCAGTCCATACCTACCCGCAACTTTCCCACCATCATCTGACAAACTGCGCAGCCATCCAGTAGAAATTTTCGTCACATCCCACACCGTACTCTTTCATATGCAGCATCTCTTCGTGCCATTTTGTCTGCTCGCACTCTCATTTATTGACACTGCCTCGTTTTATCAGAGGAGTGGCAAGATTTATCCGTTGCTAAAGGTGCTTCAGTACTGCTTTTACGGACATAACGTGGGCGTGCATAACTGTGCGCCCACGTTATGTCCGTAAAAGGGGTGCGGGGAAGGGAGGGGGAGATTGAACTTTCACATGTATTGTCTGTCTCATTTCTCTTCTACTATTGTCGTTGACCAATTTGTTTTCCGCAATTAATCTCGACTTTCTGATCGGAGTTCGACAAGTGTAGGTGATGCATGTCGTCTCTCATTAGCAGTGGAACTCATTGCTACTGACAGACGATTGTCGTTATCAGATCTAAAGTTTCACAGTGATAATGTGAACCATTTAATACGGTGAAGGACTTGTTTTATGTAGAAACGAACGTTTTCAGTATTGAAACATAACAGTTTTAACCGTTTGTTACTGATTAAATATTACACCATGCCACTAAAAAGCCGAATCGATGCAAAAAAAACAGAATCTGAACGTTTGCAAGGTATTATAATGTTTAATATTTCTTGTGTAAGCGTTCTTCCAATTTTCACATGTTTCCGCAATATGAATAAATGAAAATTATCCGCTTAATACAAAACTAAGAAATATGAAATATACTGGAATTCTGGTAAGAAATGCTAAATATACTGAAAATGTGTGTTTTACAGCGATAGTAGTTGATCTTTTACGAGAAGAGGAAAACAAGTACTGTGCCGATTGCGAAGCGAAACAACCTCGATGGGCGTCCTGGAATCTAGGAGTATTTCTTTGCATACGATGTGCCGGGATCCATCGTAATCTGGGTGTTCATCTAACTAAGGTATCTCTTTCGGTTTTTAAGAGAATTAGTGTACCTTCAGTCCTGTAAATTGTACTTTTAATTTTTTTTCTTAGTATTCTGAAAATATGATTATTTGATATATTCGGTTTTAACTGCCTTTCGATTAATAATATTCAGGTAAAGTCGGTCAATTTGGATTCGTGGACCCCAGAACAAGTGCAAAGTATGCGGGTGATGGGGAATAAAATGGCACGTCGTGTTTATGAAGCCGAACTTCCTGAGCATTTTCGTAGACCACAAACAGATTCTGCTCTTGAATCATTCATTAGAGCAAAATATGAACAAAAAAGGTGATAATTTTCAGTGTTTTTCACTTTTGAAATAGTGAGATGTCAGTTTTCGTTTGAATTACAAAACAAAATATAAATGTTTTGGTTAAATCATATATCACTCCAGATATATCCTGAAGGATTGGTCGCCGCCTCCACTTGATGTGAACGACTTGCCACCATTTCTGGATAAGAAACAAATTTCTGATCGCAGTGAGTTCGCAAAATCATTAAAATCTTGATTGTGAGTGAATTTCAGTCTTTTAGCTACTGCGAAGGTTTCTGTTTTTACTTTCTTGTATTTCGTCAGGATATTCGTAGAATAAATTATTCGACACAATCATTTTGATTTTACCTGGAACGCAGCTCTTTTATATGGTCAACTCAGTTTTTGAATATTATGTGTCAAATTTCATAAGTGCTAAAACAGTAATACAAACCACTCATTTCAGGTATACGTTTAAATGTTAGAGAAAGAGATCGCTGCTCGAATTCAACAGAGAAGACAAGAAATGTAGCTGGAAATTCCAACGTGGGAAATGCTATTACTGACATAAAGAGCGGCACAATTACAGATGTACCGCTGTTAGACCTAAGTACTCCCATAGTAGAAGTCAGTCACAGTGAACTTCTATCCACCTTGTTAAACGAGTAGTAATTTTTATTTGATAAAATCTCCAACTTCTCGATATCCGGGGTGAAAAACATTTTTGCAGCCTTTTGCTGTGATAGATAAAAATACGATGGATTTGAATAATAGCATCATGGGAATCAGCGACAATAATGAAATGGAAGATTTTGGTCCAATTGTTTCTGCTCCACCTGCGAAACTGCGGTCTGATATTTTTGCCACTGATGCCGTAGCATCTTCTTCAAATGGTAAAAATGATCTCATGACTGGTAGCTCGGAAAATAATTTGGAAGAGTTAGCATCGGTGTTAGGATTAAATCCCGCAATGAATGGTAAGCTTCGGAATAGTACAACATTAATTACACTCTTAGCAGTTCTTATTGTGCTTGTGGTGAACAAGAAATTTTTTCTTTCAGAGAAAAAGAGCACTTCCGATATCCTTGCTTTGTATGAAACTGCGTCTAAATTTTATCCTCGGTCAACAAAGCACCAGCGTCGATTGCAACAATTTTCTGAGGTTTTCCCGTTCAATTTCATAAATTTTTTTCAGTGGAACATTGGTATAACAATATGAATTCAAACGGTCTGAGGGATGTTGGTCTTTTTGTAATTTAATATGCTTATTTTTTTTCTTTTTTGTTTGAGTGTTCCAAAGAAAATATTCCAGTAAGACTTTGTTTTCGTTCCCGTGTTAATGATTTCGTAAAAAAGCGCCAAATCATTTCTTATCCATGATGAGGAATTGGCCTAATAGATAAGTTTTAGTTTTTTTATGTCCATAAGTTTCTTACGTCAGGCTTCATCCGGTGATGGCAACATATCTGGTAAACCAAAGGACATTTATTTATCTGATGCGTCGAATAGCGGGTCATTTTTCGGCCCATCTGTTGTTCCTCTTGCTCAACAGTCTTGTGGATCTCAAAACGGCTGTAAGTTTTAATGATCAAGTCTACTTAGCTACTATCATTATAGATTTACATGTCACATCTTTTTATACTTCGTTTTTATCATCACTTGAAAGTACATTAGTAAATTTTTATTATTATTTGACCTCGGAACAGATAGTACAATTTAATATGCTTCAGATACACAGTTGGCTATATTTGGACCAGAAACAAACACCTTGCCAGCGGGAAATTTTTTCCTAAATCGTGAGACAGCGGCGATTTTTGCTGCTGCTTCACCCTTTGCTAATGTTCCAGTGATAACAGAAAGTGGAGTTCTACCGAATTCTCAAAAAGTTAGTTCGGGACACGTGGATATGCCATCCGGGAAAACTTCTGTTAGTGCCTGATTAACTTATTTCACTAAAATGTTGTATATCTTTTACCTTCACAATTGATGTTTTCTTGAAAGAATTTTTTGTAGATGAAACAAACTTTCTTCTTTGGAAATCTTCTTTCTGATCCAACCAACATGAGTAGTGGGAAATGCCTGTTTTTTAATTACTGAACTTCCGAGGAAATTGAAATGATTTTTGTTCTGTGTATAACGTTGTTTGAGTGGATTCTTGTCAACAACTAATTATTTTAAGGATGGATTCATAGCACTAAGCAATATTCAACCAAGATCGGATAACAATGGAAGTGACATTATTTCTTGTGGTGCCACAGAGGTTATTAAAAATTTTCAAACTACTGGTTTATTCCCTAAAAAATGACTAGCAAAATCCATCACAGATATTAAATATCATTAGTGGTTTGTGCTGGTATTTTTTTTAAAAATATTATTTCACTGGTCTTTGCAAAGACTTGCTCATATGCTGCAAATTCTACATCCAAATGTTGGCTTCTTACTTGAGCTTCAGTTTTCATAAGACATTGTTGAGAAAATGTAAATCGAGCACTGAAGCAAAAAAAAAAAACCGTTTGATACATGTATGCATGCACGAAATAAATATGGTGATTCTCAGATTTGAAATGTAGACACTGATTAGGATTATATTAATTGGAAGCTATAATGTGTAGAATAAACAGTTCCTAGCATATATTCTATAGGAGTAAGATAAGAGCAAGTTATGAAATTTGAAAACTGAGGTATGTGTCTCACTAATAGATAAGATGAACCTTGCATAAATGTACAGCGTTGTACAAATAACAGTTGTGGTGAAAGGACAGGTTATGAAATAAAAGTTAGGGGAAACAAAAACCAAAAAAGTGCTGCATCTATCGTGCCGCACTTTCAGATTTCTCATTTCACTTTACTGTTTGTCTTTGATGTGCACTTTATAAAAGATCATACACTCATCACGTGATTCGTTCCTCAGATTTTCCTGAGTAGTGTACTGCAAATAACTAAAGTAATGTCTATTGCTGAAAAGTTATAAAACATAAGAATTTGTTGCGCATAAAGTAGTAATGGCAATAAATATTAGAATAGCGTATAGAGATATGCAGTTGCTGGAAGTCATTTGTCGTCTGCTCTTTTTTTTCTGGTTTTCATTTTTATCTGTTCTATAGAATTGTCAAGATGTACTGCTTAAAACTTATTCCGATTTACAGAAAACAAAGACCCCAGCTCTGAATCATCTGATGGCAGATTTTGGTCAGTTCAATATTGGTGGTGAATCTAGGGAGCAGAATAGCTTGCAGAAAAATATTTCATGGAATTAGGATCACATGCTAATATGCAAAGTTCGTTTACATTACGAGGATCTTTTACAAATATTTGCACATTCTACCAGTACAACGTTTTGTATCGTAATAAAAGCTCTTTTATCCTGTCGTTTTTCATATATTTCTCTCTTGCTTTTGATATAGACTTCTTTACGAATTTTCAATGGAGCACTGACTTTTGCTTTATAATTTATATTTCCTTTAAAAATCACTCTCGTATTTCCCATTCCGTGGCGTTTTTTTAGTTGTTTGTCATCAAATATTCAATACTTGAATGAACGTTGTTGACTGGTCATATCTTTGAATTATGTATTTTCCATGAAATATTCGTTTTGATATTGTTTTTTAAGTTCAGAATTTTCTCATTCATTTGTCATTTATCGTTCGATCATTGTTGACCTCCCCCATGAACTCGGAGCTTGCATAAATCGTTTAACATTCTTTGATTCTTCATTATTTACCTTTTAGAATTAATCCATGTCATTTAATAATGGCAGCAAATTGTTGAGTGCAGCAACTAAAAAAAGAATCGGCATATCTTAACTTATTGTCTACTTTGATTAATTTTTTCATAAATGCTGAATCGATAGAGTGGTGAAGTCATGGAAGGGCATGCAAGGAAATGTATTTTTTAGGCCTAAATTATTGATTTTTGCAAGCTGCTGTTTTTCACTTTTTTCTTTATGACATAAAAATACGCCCATCATATGTCTTATACAATTGAAGAATTTGCACCGAAGTTTTTGCTGTTTTCGAGCATTTTATGTTGGTTTTAAATAGTTTTTGTAACCGCCAATTGCAACTTCTAGGAAAAGGCAAGTGTCATTTTTCATTTCGGATATCATATCTCCTTACAATTGTTCGATTCGATAGCTCATTTTTGTGTCAGGATATAATTATCATTCGCACGGTGGTACTTTATTTTTATTTGCATGTATAACCTTAACTGATTTATACATCGTTTATTATTTGCATTAATAGTTCGGCATTGAATCGGTTCAAAATGAGTTGTGGAATATATTATGATAGTCAGAGTGTATGCGAACTAACGAGTTGTTTCAATAATGCATGTAACTTAGTGATATCTGTCGAATTCTAGCGAGATTTCAAGCAAAACTTGATTTGCATGCTGTCTTCATTATCATTATTGTTGAAATATCGATATCTATAAAAAGAAAAAAAGTAGGGCTGTGTTGCTGAGCAGATTTTTTTAAGTGATAAAGGATGTCCAAGATAAGTGGAAACGATAAAAATGAAAAGGCCACCGCTGATTGATTGACTTTGACGAAAGTTCTCACCAATCGTAGCATATAAGCTATCAGTATATCATCTGTACCCTTCTTTTTTGTGTATCCAAGAATATCAGTACTGCTTACCTGCGGTACATTTTAAACACCCTTAAAAATTGTAAGTGAATCATATCCAACAATTCGATCAAAGAAATTTGTGTGCACTGGGTTGATATGTGTTGTTATGTCAATTACAAGATTATCGTAATGTCTTCAAGTACATATCGCTAGGATTTAACAGTAATAGCACCTGTCCGAAGAGCGGTGGTAGGGAGCTTACAAAATGTATTCATTTGGAATTTTCCTGATGAAATGACGAAATAATGAATCTACAATTACAATTGCCTAAAGAAATTGGAAGTTTTGTAAAATAAACGAGGTAATACTTGGTAGTACTCTTGCATTTAATTGATTTGTGTTCAAAGTTGGAAGAGAGCAAATTCGAAAAAAAAGTAGACAAGATCATAACACTTTTTAGCTCAGAGTTGTATTCATAGTTGAATTCATAGATTTCGAGGTAAATTCTCGAAATCTATGAATTCCGAATTGTAGAGAACATTGCTTTGTAGGAATCTCCTTTAGTATAGTGAATGTTTTTAACCATCAATGATACAATAAGATTTGACCACTCTTCCCGGAAATTGACAGGTCAATAACCAAGAGAATATTCCAAGAACTGAATCATGTGGTTCTAAATTTCAAAATTCTGACTTATACGGGGAAGGATGCAATCATTTGCTATATAGTTAGATGCTTAGAAAAAAGAAATTTTTCCTGAATTAAAATTTTCCACTTATTAAGGTGATGAAGTGGACAAGTTGGCGAATGCCAAATAGTCATCAAAAAATTTTTTAAAGAAACTTATTTCTTTAATCAGTGTTACCAAAATGTCTTCAAATTAAGTTTGTGGTAAATGCCAGTAGTTCAGTTATAAATAAAATGAATTAAAGGAATCTAAAGAAGCATTCATAAATCAGAAATCTGTTATTTTTCCATGTTTTTCAAAGTCAAGTAAGGAAAATTTAAACTTTATCATATGAAGTTGTAAATTTTTCGAAAAATAAGCTCAAATTTGTAAGTTTGAATATGTATATACAAGAAGTCTTGTTGATTTAACTTGACCATTTGTCTGTTTACTTTGTTTTCACTCATAATTTCTACAGCTTCTTATTTCTTATTTTGATTTGAATATAATAACGTTATCCATAAACAGAGTTGTTCTGTACAACTCGGCAATTAGTGAAGTATGTCACATAAATGGTAGCATTTCTGCTCTCTGCATCACTATGATTTTGAAATAGCCAGGGGTTTAGCATCACAAAATGATAGATAACATTTCAAATTTTGTCGCTCTCTTAGTTGAATGATACATGCAACCGCATTGTTTCTATCAGAAATAGTTTAGTCTATTAATTTAATTCATGTAGATGAACAGGAAAAATTAAAAAATTGAAGATCACAAACACTGAATGGCTAAAAAAGAGACAAATTACAAAAATACAAAAATATAATGAAACAGATTAATTATAGAATGAAGTAATGAAAGGATATTGAAAGTGAGATTTATTACGAGATGGAATAATTTAACAGAAAAACACCCTGTTTACTTGAGAAAATCACAATCATGAGCAAAATGATTATTGAGGAGAGAGAAATTAATGTTATGTGATAAAGTTGTTGCTTTTTTGTGCTAAGGATTGAATGATACTTATCCTATCACTATTATGATGGCATTTATGAGGCACTGAGTATATTATGATTTGAAATTAGTTTATTCTTGTCAACAGAATCTACTATTAACTTTTTGTCATGAGGGCAATTTTAATTCTTTCACATTATCATTAGTAGGGAATTTTTAAAAGCAAAAAAAAAAAACATTAAAAATGGAGAGAATCGATGATTTTTCAAGATGGGCAGAGCAATGCTTTGATTACAGATATGCGGGTTGTTCGGGGCGTAAAGCAGTTATTCTCCTCAGATATTCGGTATCACGAAAGAAATCAGATTGGAACGAATTATGTCGTACTGTTGACATTCCAGATGAAGTTTCATCAATGAAACGTAATTTCATGAGAAGTTCATGGGGCTCGAATGGTCGATCGCGTAGTTCATTATCCAGAAATGCCCGGACATCATTCCATGTGACCTAATAGATATGAGAATGAAAACAACATTTAGTTTTGAGTTTTAAATATGCTAGTTGAAAATTCTAGTTATTTTCAATGGTATAAAATTTAATAAATGAAAAATTTACAGTTACCTTTCCTCCCTTTTTACTCCTCATTGCTTTCAATAGGACCACAATTTCTTTGAGCTCGTCACTCAGACCAAGAAATTTTTTGGCTCGTCCGAAATAATGGAAGCGAGTAAAATATGCTTTCAGATGTGTTGATGCTAAGTCAATACACATCGTAACAACTGATAAACCTGCAGAAACATTGATTATATATATAAAGCATAACTTTATTATGTTTTCACCATATAATTTTATAATTATTTTATTAAGCCCAGCGTAGCGATCATCTTCAAGTTTGCGTTATCCACTCATTTTCAATTGAAATATAATGATCAACGAAAAAGCAACAAGAATGTCATTTTCTCCTTCCGACTCTTTCGCTTCAACCGTTCTATCCAAGCCTGTCACTAAAATGAACAGAACTAACTAAAGCTTTTCGGAAAGCTATCGTGAACACGTGAACATAATTGTTGTAGCTATTACGACAGATCAACCAAATTGTAAAACCTAACGAACCAATTTTCTGAATAAAAATGTGAATGAAAGTTGAGAAAAAACTATTGCTTCTTCCAAGCACTGACGAAATAGAAAAATCTACTTATCTCTTTGCACTAAATCTGTACTTGATGTTATAAAAATGATAAAAACCACAGAAATCCATCAGTACCCTTTTTATAAATCAAGAATGACAGGGCATCATAGAGAATCAAAACCATCTACTTGCAAGCTTCTATATTTTCATCTTTATTAAATAACATTGTGATCTCTCCATTAATGA